TGGCACAGCAGCTGCTTTCTCTGAAAATGAAGAGAAGAGGATCTCAAAGTATTATCCCAGGCAGACCAGACCACATCCCATATTGGTCCAGCAAAATGATTACCCATCTCTAACCTGGCAAAAGACTAAAGATCTGTGCCTGAGTCTCAGGACCGGAAGATTAGAGATACCAGGCAAGTTCAAAGCCAGGACATGCCCTGCTAAAGCATAATTATTAATTGAACATGGGAACAGGTTTTGGAGAATTCAACTCTCATGTTTCATTTGGTGGCAGGCCATCACCCACCAGGCTGAATAGTACTCTGGGAGACCTGGGCAGAAGTGAAAAGAAAAAAATTAAAAGACACAGACATTGAGGGCTCCTGAGTGAGACAGCCAATAAAATCACAGACCTCGCAGGTCACAAGCAAGTGGATTGGCTTCTATTCTTTGCACACACAGCCACTGAGACTCCGGGTATCCTGTAAGAGAGACTGGCCCCACAGGGAGAGGCTTGGGGGTTGAAAGTACTCATGAGAAGAAAATCTCGGCAGAGGCTACACAGCCACGAGACAAGCCTAGCAAGCTAGATGCCAATCCAGGGAGACTTCCAAGCCACCACGTGATGTTTCAGAAATCAAAACATGTGAAATAACAGTTATATTAGAAGATTGGAAAATATAACCAGGGAAACCTTCTAGGAAGCAGAGCCAAAATACAGTGAGATTGGCAAGGAGAGGGGAAAATAGAGCAATGGTGCAGGCAGCCTCTTCCAGATCAAAACAGAGCGAGGAAACTGAGGAAACAGAGGAAGAAGGCTCCGTGAAGAATCTCAGCAGAGTTTCCCAGAACCGGAGGGCAGGGGAGGGGTTTACACTGTAAAGCTTCACCAAGTGCTCAACGTGGTGAATAAACGTCAACATACATGTATCCATCATTGGGAAGTTTCAAACCCTGGGGCCAAGGCAGCATCCTACAGGCATTCAGAGAACAAGACCAGGTCACGTGGAAATGGTCAGGACTCTGCGTACTCCAGACTTGTCGCCGGTCGCACAGAACTAGACCGGCACAATGTCTTTTTTTCTCCGAAAAGTCAGTTCCGACCTAAAGCTACATCACTGTGAAGTTATCTTTAAGTATAGTGTAGAATAAAGATATTCTGAGACATGTGGGATTTCAAAACTTTTGCTTCCTTCCCGTCTCCTTTCCCTGGAAGCCACTAGAAGTGAAGTTCTAGCAACATAATGGGGGTGGCGCAGAAAGACCTGAAGTGAGGGAGAGAGGAACGAGGCGAGGAGGGCTGGAGAAGCATGAAGCGGGTGCTGACTGTGCACACCCCCTCCCAGGTCCCAAGGAAGGAGAATTGCTTACTGGCAGAAGGTATAGTTCCTGCACTCTGAGCAAAGGGATTGAATAATGCAGAATGTAGCTCAGAATCGCCCTGAACTCTCAAGTTCTCTTGCCTCAGCCTCCTGAGTGCTGAGATTATATAGGGCTTTTTTTTTTTAAATCATACCCGGTTTATAGAAGTTTCTTTTCTTTTTTTACTTCCTGGTGTTTTTTTTATTGATTTTATTGAGCTCTACATTTTTCTCTGCTTCCCTCCCTGCCTCTCTCCTCCCTTTCAATTCTCTCCCAAGGTCCCCATGCTTCTAATTTACTCAGGAAATCTTGTCTTTTTTCTATGTCCCATGTAGATTAGATCTATGTAAGTCTGTCTTAGGGCCCTCATTGTTGTCTAGGTTCTCTGGGATTGTGATTTCTAGACTGGTTTTCTTTGCATTATGTTTTTAAAACACTTATGAGTGAGTACATATGATAATTGTCTTTCTGGGTCTGGGTTACCTCACTCAATATATGGTGTTTTCTAGCTCCATCCATTTGTCTGCAAATTTCAAAATGTCGCTATTTTTTCTACTGTGTAGTGCTCCATTGTGTAAATGTACCACATTTTCCTTATCCATTCTTTGGTCAAGGGGCATTTAGGTTGTTTCCAGGTTCTGGCTATGACAAACAATGTTGCTATGAACATAGTTGAGCACATGTCCTTGTGGCACAATTGAGCATCCTTTGGATATATGCCCAAGTGGCATTACTGGGTTCTGAGTTAGATTGTTTCTTAATTTTCTGCTCCCACTCATGCGGTGTTCACTGTCTCGGGCCAGTTCTGGCCTAGGTCACTGGCTCAGTCCTGCCTCCGCAAATGTCCCTGGTCAGGATGCGCTCCTGCTCCCTTGGAGTTCACCTAAAAATTTCTCTTAAAAAGAAAAAAAAGGGAAAAAAAAACTTCAGGGGGTGGAGAGATGGCTCAGTGGTTAAGAACACTAACTGCTCTTCCAGAGGACCTGGGTTGAGTTCTCAGCACCCACATGGCAGCTCACAGCTGTCTGTAACTCTAAGATCTGACACCCTCATGAAGACATCGGGCTGGCAAAACACCAATGCAAATAAAATAAAAATAAACTTTAGAAAAAATTTTTTAAAAATTTAAAAACTTCAGTAAAAAGTTTACCATAAAAATATGTACCCGGCTGTGTTCTATTTCAGCAGCTTTGTGTATAAATTGTGCATTTCATAAGAATTCTCCAATGAGTAAGAATTCAAGTCTCTGACAGCCCCATTGATAGGAATATGTTCTTTTTCTGGCTTCCTTTGCTTCCAGAACTTCTGAGCATGCCCAAGGAGTGCTAATGCATTTCACAAGAACTTACCCCAGAATCATCTTTACCCAGCCTGGGTTAGGAATTGCCACTTCTGACAGGTCTGAAGACCATTACCACTCTCCCTAGTGTCTCCCCCATAGGGAAGTGCTGTCCCAAGCAACTCTAGTCCATGATCTGTGTAAGGCAGGGAGTGACAGGAGATGGTGTTTGGATTAGGCAGCCCCCTCTGGTGACCTTTCCACATCTCCATTTTATCTCCCACACTGACAACTTCTCTAGGCTTCTCATCGAGGTCTTACCATCCACCATGGGTAACAGACCCTGTGAACCACTTTAAAATGCCCGGAAGTACCTCTTTGTAGAATACGCTTAAGCCATGTTCCAGCTCTGTATCCAGCCAGGTTTATCCCACAGACGTTCATCCTACTGATGACTAGAAGAATTAGAAGGCCGGAGTTGACAACCTCACACTGTCAGTGAAACACCCTGAGCACCTGAGTCCTTGTCCCATGCCCCAGACAAAGGCTGTGAAGCCCTCTTGTCCCCACTCTGACCCTGCTTGTCTCTTCTGGTAAAGCCCAGACCTCGTCACCCTGGTCATCATCCTGAGCTTTGCGGAAGTACTCTGCTGCCCATGGTGTCTCATCTGTAATTATATGGAGTAGTTTTCCTCATTCCCCAAACTTGAACCTTCTTCGTGCATAATTCAAAGCCCGCCAAACTATTTTAACTAAGTCCAAACAGCAGCTTCTCCCTATGTCACGGTCAGATGCTGGAGATTAGCAGCAGTACCGTTGACGTCTTCCGGGCAAACCTGATGGTGGCTTTGGTTCTCACCGCAGTGTTCAGACCACCAGGAGTGGGAGGGAAGATGAGCTGACCCATCCAGGATGAGTCAGGACACTGGAGAAATACCTTCCTTACCACGAAAGCCTGTTCAACGATGGCAGGGAGTGTTGATTGAGGACATGATTGAGTCTCATATCTAGACACATTTCCCTTTTCGCCTCCTCAGCCTGGATGCTCAGAGCCAGGTCAGTGGTGACTCTGGTTGAGCTTGGGAGCCTGTGGCTGGTGCTGGTTTCCCTTTGTCTCGTTTTCTTCCTTGAAATATTTCACACTGTATTGTGTTCATGTCCATAAGCCACAGCGGCGTACATGCTATTAAAAGGCAATGAAATTTTAACGTGAAAGAGCTATAGCTACGCAGTAGGAGATGACTTAGGACAAAGATAGTTGTTCTCGGGTGGTATAGCTGTGGGTACTTTATTTTCTTCTCAAATGCACATTAGTATAAAAAATGAACTTTTTAGCATCCTTATTAGGAAAGTCGATGTTCATGTAAGGAAATATGAAAAAGACCAAAACGTGCAAAGGTGAAAATTAGTTTCATTTATCACTCACCCCTCTAGACAGCAGTGTTAACCGAGGGTCTCACCCAGGCCAGGCAAGCAGCTGACCTATGTCCCCAGCATCCAGTCTTTGTAGAGGCACGTGTGTGTATCAGTTTACAAACTACATTTCCCTCGTTTAGCTTTTCTGTACATTTTCTCAGCTGGGTGTCATGAAACCGTAGGTGTCAGACATTTTCTCATTTCCCTCTGCGGTTTTCTACATCATGGTTTTAAAATCACGCAAGTTGTATCTGTATGCAAGGGTGCGGTAAAGAAACCAGAAAGATGAACACTCCGTGAGTGGGGAGGAAGGTTTTTATTGTAGATAAGAGAGAGAGAATATCCAGAAGCATCTGAAAGAGTCCAGGAAATAAAAAGAACTAGACTGGACACCGCCAGGGTTTTCTAGAAGAGAAGTGAGAACAGCAAGAGAGAGAATAGGAAGGGCAAGGGGAAAACCTTGCTGTTATAAAGAGAGTGGGAAGTGAGCTGCAATCTGGAACCACCTGGAAGCTAGTGGAGGAAGTGAGGAGGACCAGGAGGCTAGCGAGGGCTTTGAGATGCAGAATGAGTAAATGATGATGGGAAGGAGTCAGGAGGCTAGTGTTGGCTTGGTGTACGCCATAGGAATGTGTAGAGATGGAGCCAGATACCAAAAGAAGGGAAGGGAGGGAAGTGGGCCTTACCATTTCACAGGTTCCTGAGGAAAGCTGTAAGCATCCACTAGCATCTTTGGTCCAATATGAGCGGAGCCAAGACTGTTGTTTCTGCACACATGCACCGCCCTGTGGAGCTGGAGACCTAACAACAGCATCTTCATTTTCCGTGTACCGTATCTATTTAACAAATCCCCCTTTGTTGGACTTGCAGATTGTTCCTGTTTTTAGTCCTTTCCCTCTGGGTTTGTAATAAGCCACCTTTGCTGTGTTTCCTCGGCTGAGATTCTCTTCTTTCTTCCCTGCAGTGGTCTCTGGGTCGTCGTCCAGCTCCAAGTATGACCCTGAGATCCTGAAAGCTGAAATCGCCACTGCGAAATCCCGGGTAAGGATCTTCACGGCGTCCTCTCTGCCACTTACTGGCCAACCCTCCAGGCCGTGGCAGCCGGGGCTAGCAAGGCCCCGACATAATAGTAGCTGTGGTTGGTTGTTGTATTAACGATGGTACCACAGTTGCCATTCAGAGGCGTTCGCCTTGTACCTGCCATAGTATTGGGTTCTTCATCTCGTGCCATTGCTTCACCCCTTGAATCTGCACTTTAAAGATGAGTGAGCAGAGACCAAGACCCTTGCCTAGGAAACCAGAGTCCTCACTGGAGTTTGGTGTCCTCTCCCTCCTCCTAGCTGCCCCCCACTTTGCATCACCTTCATTCGTGATGACCTTTAGAAGGACAGTGTTGTTACCCCCATTTTACTGTAGGAAACTAAGGCAGAGTAGTTAAGCGGCTTGTTCACAGTATGCTGGGTCTTTTGAACACGGGTTTCATTTAGATCTGAATGATTTCCACATACGAAAACATAAAAGGGGAAGTGGACTGAGGTAGGATGAATGCTGGGCTAATAGTCTGATGTACCTTGTCTGAGTGGCTAAAGTGTAGCTCGAAAACCCTGCACCCATACTGGAAGGTGAGCCCCGTGTTTTTAGATGTCAGGTATTTTTGGGAAGAGCTGTACATCCGGGTTTCATGCATGAAGTCTCTTAGAACTTAATCAGAAGTTCTCGCTGAAAGGCTGCCAGAACTCTGCAGACCTAAGGAGGATCTAGGTTTTGGTGGTGTCTTGCCGCCACCTCCGTGCAAATTGCTCTCAGATCAACCCCAGCTCTAAGCGGTGTGTGGCCCAGGTAATTGTTATCACCCCCACTCATCACAACAGGCAAGAAGAGGTGAGACGGGGTCCTGCAAGAGGGATCCCATAGCAAAGCAATGGGGAGGCCTGACTATCCCAGTCAGTGTCTGATTTCTCCCTGTTTCCCCGGTGTAGAGGCTGCCTGGCAGGACCGACAGGGACACTCCCTGGGAGGCTGACTCCCAGACTGCGCTGGTGAAGGGAGGGTGCTGTGACGTAAGATGCCCAAGGGATGCAGGTGGCCTTTTAGGCAACAGCAGTATCGTCAGGGGCTTCTGGGCTCCCCTTCCCAGCCTACACCTCCACATCCCCCTCTGATCCCGTCTTCTGTGTGGTCTTCTGCCATTCAGGTCAACAAGTTGAAGAGAGAGATGGTCCACCTGCAGCATGAACTGCAGTTCAAAGAGCGTGGCTTTCAGACCCTGAAGAAGTAAGTATCCCGCAGTGGAGGGCAAGGGGCAGTCTCTAACCATGGGTCCCATCTACTCTCTCTGCTCCTCTCTCCATTAGTCCTTTTCCTCCCTTCTCAAGATGCATCTCACAATTCTACTTAATTTCTTTCCCCCTGTCACTCACTGACGATGCCATCAGCCAGGGGTGGAGATAAACAGAGTCATTTCAAACCATGGAGCTGTTGTCGGGCTCTGAACCTATAAGCCCGTTCAGGTCCGCAGAGTCTTACTCCGCAGTCCTAGAAGCAAGTGTCAAGCATTCTTATGCACACCTCGGCTTCGCTAATTGACAGCTAGACTGTCAGTCACAGACCAAGCGAACCCTTTAGCCCTATGGCCCCTAAAGTAAGCTGCCGCTTCACGGCTACCCCACTGCGGAGCTAACAGTCTCGTCCAGCGTTGAGCACATTCCTAGTGAATCACGCACTGGACTGTGTGCGGAGTTCTCTGGGGGTGGCACAGAGAGCTTCCACAACAAACAGATAGATGTCATTTCGCTGTGCAGAAGTGGGCTTTCAGCTAAGTAAGGGATACGGCTTCTTTTTTCCCTATGCAATGTGTTACACTGTGTTTACGGTTGTCATGTTGACTGTGGCCATGAAGATTTGGAGAGCTTTTGCCGTGTGCCGGGAAACGCCTTCAAGTGTTTCTGCATGAGGGTGTTCATCTGGTCCTTGTGGCAATCCCAAAAGAATGGTCTGTTCTGCTTTGTCTTTAGCCATAACACCATTATATAGTTGAGGAAACCGAGTCATAGACTAAATGCTCAGTAAATATCTGCCTATTGTTACACACATGTAACAGGCTTTTGTCATGCTTGGGGTGGTTGTTTGCTTTGTTTTTGAAATAGGGTCTCATTCTTTAGCTCCTGTTGGCCTCAGACTCATAACCATCCTCCTACCTGAGACTCTCGAGCACTGGAATTAGATGGGTTACTACGGCTCCTTGTTTACTAAGTTGTGTTCAGCCTATCTGGTGTCTTCCATGGTGAGCATTACATAGGTAACCTAGCAACCCTCACAGAAACACCAGGCAGGTTACCAGGATTCCTTGCTTCAAGAGACTTTCAGCCTTGAGGAGGCTGTGCATGTACGAACAGCTGTTCTGATAGTCATTTGCGTTATCTCCCCACCCCCAGCCCCACCCCATGCCATTTCATTATCCGTCACCACCCCCCACACACACACACACACCCGAAAGCCTAAAGTCTATCTTCATCATTGGCTGAGTACCGAATCCTGCCCTGGGACATATCAGCGAGTTCTGTTGTAACTATCGTTCAAAGCGTTATGTATGTAACATAGTTATGTATGTAACTCCTAGTTGAGAGCCAGTTGGTGATGGTTGTTGCTCCTGCTCCTTCTCCTCTTCTTTTTCTTCATTGAAAGTTTCTCTATTGTATACCTCTGACTGTCCTGGAACTCATTATGCAGACCAGGCTGGCCCGGAACTCACAGAGACCCACCTACTTCTGCCTCCCCAGTGCTGGGATTAAAGGCTTGTATCACCATGCCTGGAAGTTGGTTCTCCTCTACCAGCCTTAATCCCACAAGCCATCACCACCTGAGGGAGCCTCCAGAAATCCAGCACAGCACATGATCTGAGCAAGTGCGAGCTGCAGATGGTGGCACACACCTGTAATCCCAACACCTGCTAGACTGAGACGGGAAGGTGAAGCGTTCAAAGCCAGGCTGGGCTACATAGCAAGACCTGTCTCAAAATCAGACAACAACAGAAGAAAACATAACCCACCTGAGGGTGTAGCTCAATGGGGAGTGCCTCCTAGCATCTACAAGGTCTGAGTCAGCAGTTCTCATGCTGTGGGTCTCCACCCCTTTGGGGTCCCCCAAGACCATCTACACATCAGATGTATTCACATTACCATTCATAACAGTAGCAAAATTGCATTTATGAAGTGACGAGAAAAATAATTTTATGGTTGGGGGTCACCACACCATGAAGAACTGTATTATAGGGTCGCAGCACAAGGAAGTCTGAGAACCACTGCCTTAAATTCAGCCTTAGTCGTGGGGTGGAGGGATTTAGAAATACGGCCCTGTGTTAGATTGTGTGGAATGTTTTTCTTTTTTAATTTAAAATTTTGGCTTTTATATCTTTTTTATATGTCTATATGTATAATTTACATAATTTGCACATGTGTATATGTCAATCATATCTTTCAAACCAGATTCTATCTTCTAGGGGTTGTACTCTATGCTCCTTGGTAATTTTTAGTGAACATCAGAGATAATTCCAAGCACTAGTGTGAGCGCAGACATTCCTTATTTGACCCATGAAAGCCCCATTCTCTGCATGGGGCTCCAGAAGCTTTGAAGCATGGCTTAAGGCTTATCCCCCACCTCAAGAGCTAGACTTAAAATGCTTCCCATTATTCTCAGGGCCTCCACAAACCTGTTTTACCACATTGTCACCCTGTAGCAGCATTGAAAATCCTTGTCCTTTGGCGAACTGACAATGAAACCCTAAGACAACCCTGCCCTCCCTCCCCCTTCCTCCCAGGTTGATAGCTGGCCCAGATGAGATTCCTTTGCAGCCCTGGCTCTCACAGTCCTCAGTTAGAAGTAGACCAGGGTGAAGAAAGATATCAACCCTAACACACAGAGAGGGTTAGGAATGTAACTTCACAAGACGGCGAACCTGGGACCCTGGAAAAAATAACCTAACCCTTCTAAGTTTTGATGTCTTCGTCTAAAAGGTCCATGGTTGTCAAGGCTGAGCTAGAAAAGTCTCTGTCTGGGATGTAACAGAGCCCGGTACAGATCAGGCGCTCAGTGAGGAGGGTGGGAGCGGGCTATTAGTTAGTTATCCTCTTTGTTTTGGGAAGAGAGACTCTCCATCTAAACCGAGCTTGCAGCTTGCTAGAGAGCCTGTTATATCAGCTGCCTCTTGCCATGCTCCTTACCTCATTAAGAAGAGTTTTTTTGTGTGCCCCATGTTGTTAATGAAAACACAGGGGAAAATAAAAAGTCCAAAACCACCCAACCAGCAAGGATCAGAACTGGGACTGGAATCCAAGAACTTTTAGGGCTTCGTATTTGTATGCAAGGGGACAAGGAAAGAAACTGCTGACATGACCTCTCCATTCTTAGGGGAAGGTTTTGTTTTGTTTTGTTTTGTTTTGTTTTTGTGTGTGTGTGTGTGTGTGTGTGTGTGTGTGTGTGTGTGTGTGTTTTCCCCGGAGAGCATCCTGAAGCACCTGGAAGAGTTGAGAGTAATGAGAAAGAAAAGCGTGGACACAGCTAGGGCTAGGGAAACCAGAAACTGGGGGAGGATAGTTGAGATAGTAAGATAGCAAGAGATGGTAAAACAGAAAGAGGATAGATAGTCAGAATTATAGAGTAGACAGACAGACAGGGTGCAAGAAATAGTGAGAGAGGATAACTAGAGAGAGACAAAGTGGGAGACAAATCATGTGGACTGTAAGGGGCTTCCATTGCTGGGGGAGATGAAGGGACTTGATATGTAGCAGGTACTTGTGGTACTGAGGAAGCCTGGAGGCCAGCAGTGGTGTGAGCTTCGATATGCTGGTAGACCCCAGGGGTAACGTATGTCCCTTCTGCAACAGGGAAGGGAAATGACTCCTTTTGGCAGATGAGAATTGGTTTCACAAGTGCCTGGGGAAGGCTGGTTTTATCTATCAGCAATCCTCCTATGGTCCAGCTTGGGCTCATTTCTAGAGAGATGGACTACCTGGGACCTAACAATGTTCATTTCTATTATTTACTTATTTGTTGTTTGGGGACTAGGGATGGAAACCCAAGGACCTTCCACACGCCGGACATGTGTTCTGGCCAGTGAGAGACATCTAGCCTCTGTCTTGTTCCTTGCTTTTCATTTTTTGTTTGTTTGTTTGCTTGCTTGCTTGCTTGTTTTGGGGGTGGTACCCAAGAATTGAACCCCACCAATAGTAAGCACACAGTCTGTTCCACTACACTTCCAGTCTAGAACTGTGGGGTTACTATCAATTATTATTATTATTATTGAGATGCTTGGAGACTTACAGGATTTTGAAGTTCACATCTTAGTCCTCTCTGGACACCACCCAGATAACCCTCTCCCCATACCCAAAAAGTATACTGCCCCCTTCAAGCTCCCTTGGAATTGTTTTGTGTAGTGGGAGACAACTCAAGCCTTCCTGCAGCCTCCCGTGTTTGCAGAGCCTGGGAACCTCATTCTTTTCTTTAAAAAAATAATTATTTATTTATTATGTACACAATATTCTGTCTGCGTGTATGCCTACAGGCCAGAAGAGGGCACCAGACCTCATTACAGATGGTTGTGAGCCACCATGTGGATGATGGGAATTGAACTCAGGACCTTTGGGAGAGCAGGCAATGCTCTTAACCGCTGAGCCATCTCTCCAGCCCAGGGAACCTCATTCTTTAGGAATAATTTAGGGAGTTTCCAGAGGAACTTTGATGACATATCAGGATCACTGTTAGAGACCGACATAAAGTTCTTCTGCTTCCCAAGAGCTTACGTGCTTGCCTCCATGATACCAGCCAAGAGTTGTTGAGCAGCTATGTCTAAGAACCCATGAGTTTGGTTCATAGTCAGCAACAAGAGTTTCTGTTCTGTTTTGTTTAAATTAGAAAGAAAAGGAAAGAGGAAGGTAGATGAAGACGAAAGGAAACCTTTCAAGGACAAGGAAAAAGAAAAATCAAAACCAGAGTGTTGGCCTGCGGCTTGACCCCTTGTGAGCGGAGGGAGCTGAGACTTAGGCTGTTGCTTTGTCAGGGGAAGGGCATGGCAGGCGCTCTTTCTGCACTCCACAGAAAGAAAAAGCCCCTGTGCTAGAATTGTCTAGACAAGACGGGATGAACCAGCTACTATCAGAGGCTATGCCTAGCTTCTGAGTCCCCAAAGACATGCCAGAAAGGACAGGCATAATTTGGAAATCCTACAACACATCTCTCCACTGCCCAACACATATGTTTCTTTCCTTTTACCCCCACCCCCACCCCGAAAGACTCTTTTACTGAGTACACAATGGCGACCCTTTGCTCTCCCCAACCCCTCTTGCTCCATCCAGCTGTGTTCCAAGTGTCCGCTCTGAGCTACTCTCTGCAGCCCAATTCCGGAGCCCAGGTCGCTAAGGGCCTGGAGAAATCAGGCAAAAGCTCTTTGCAGCCCAGCACACAAACAGCTCTGTCCACCCTTCTGGGGATATAAAACCATTCTTGCCCTGTTGGCAGAGGAGAGTGCTGCCCAGCCTTCAGACCTGTTGAGGCATACAGCTCCCCATAGTTTGGCCTGGGGGGGACCTTCCATCCTACCCGAACTCTGGGGATGTTTCTCTGGAATATCACCCACAGAACTATGTGGAGCGATGCGAACGTTTTCAGACTAACTCTGAGATAGATAATAGCCAACCTGGCAGGCTTGCCCAGGCCTAAGTCCTCAAAAGGATAGACGGGCTATTTTTAGTGGAAACACAAATGGGGCTTTGTTTTGTCTCCACGGAAGCTGAAGTAACTGCAGGGGTCAGCAGCGTGGGGACCCCTCCCTCCTGTCCTTTCTCCTTCTCCGGAGCCAGGGCAGGGTGGGAACCTGCTCCTATTTCCCCTTTCCTCCTTTCCAAGTGATTTAGCACGGGACAGTTTGGGCTGTAGCAGGAAGCCAGAGAGGAATGCCTGTGAGGGTTTCTGTGCTGGAATAATGGGTTTGTGGTGTTCCCTTGACTGTTAAACTCCCCTTTTTCCACCCTCCATGGATGCCTCAGGCCAGCCTTTGATGAAAGGATGGAGTTTTAAGTGTATCGACTCTCAGAACCTCCTCCACAGCCTAGTCCTCTAAGGGTCCCCACCCCTCAGCCGTCTCTGGTTAAGTCATAGCTCAGTGGCAGAGCGCTTACCACCCGTGGGTACAGCCCTGATGTGATGTCAGCACTTATGAAACGAGCAGGGAGACACTCTGCTTTTCTCCTTCAACCTTTCTTTTCATCAAAACAGACCTATACATAGGGCCTGGATAAGCCAATCATCTCCAGGCTAGTGGTGTTTAATCCCTTACAGTTAGACACTACTTCCTAGTTCGCCATAGGGTTTAAGTTCTTTATCCCATTTGACGGTGAGAACAGCCCTGAACAGGGCCAGGCAAATACCACGATCTAGGCTTTGTTAGAACACCGAGGATGTGTGTGGTTGTGAGCCGTGTCCAAGGCTACACAGTAGATCACTGTGACAGCTGAGAGTCTTTTGTCCTTCTCACCTTGCCCTCATCGAGTCCTGTAATTCTACACGTGTTTATTGCCGACAGGAATCTCAGGCAGTGAGATGGCTCACCAGGTAAAAGTGCTTGTCATGCTTGCAAGGTACAACCTGAGTTCAACCCCCAGAACCCACAGAAAGATTAAAAAAAGGGGGCACTCCACAAAGTTAGACCCAGTGTTTCTCCATCAAGGGTGATTTGGTACCATCTATTTGGACAATATATGGAAACTTTTTTTTTTTTGAGACTGTGTAGCCTTAGCAACCTGGAACTCACAGAGATCTGCCTGCCTCTGCCTCCCAATGCTGGGATTTAAAGCATTGGGATTTAAAGCATTGGATTTAAAGCAGGCCATCACACCTGGCAGGAAGTGGTCACAACTCAAGACTGGGGTATTATTAACAATTTGTGGATCAGTGTCGGGGACACTGCTAAGCAGCCTGTGACATACAGGACAGGAGACACACCATCTCCTCGCCCCCGAGGAGTCTATGCCAGATTCTAATGCCATTCATGTTCAGCTCTGTTCCCCAGGATACCACAGTTGGAGTCTAAGTTACTGTCACAGCACAAGCCAAGTTGCTCATCTCTTGGAAACATGTTGCAGGGGACCCCCTCCCCAGCCTGGCGGACTCAGAAGGGAATCAGGGCAGATTTTCACTAAGAGGTCATACTTAGAAGAGCCCGTGCTTCTCCATTCTGCAGTCATACACATCTGCAGCTTGACACGGTCCTTCTGTGCCCACCCCACCCCCACCCCAGCAGAGCCTGGGCACGGCTGTGCAGGATGAAGAGGCAAGACTTGAGAGCGCCTGTGCTTTCCCCGTCTTCTCGTGTCTGATTGCTCTCGTTTCCTGACCCCTAGGATTGACAAGAAAATGTCCGATGCTCAGGGTGGCTACAAACTGGATGAGGCCCAGGCTGTGTTGAGGGAAACCAAAGCAATCAAGAAAGCCATCACTTGCGGAGAAAAGGAGAAGCAAGACCTGATCAAGGTGATGAGGGCCTCAGGAATGCGAGCCCCTGGTACCCTGTATAAGGACCCTTCACACCGGCTACTTTTACACACCATAGGGACCTCTCAGTTCTCATGACCGGATGAGTTTCCTGAGTCCAAATATTTTTTGAACATTCACATGGTAATTCCATGGAAAATTGTATACCTGACTTTGCATGGCAGGCACAGACACAGACCCAATATGTGTGCATCGAAAATATCAAGGTACCTTTTGGCTATGTATGTGCATGAAGCATCAATTTTGCATTTAGACTTTGGTCCCATCCCTAGCATAATTTAGTATGTAGTGCCAATAGACCAAAATTAGAAAGAAAGAATCGCAGGCATTTAGAATGAGGTAAATTTACCCTCTAGCAGGCTTCTTGAGATTGCCTACCCTCCCCCGCTTTATAAAGGAGAGAATGGAAGCTTAGAAGCACTGAGTTACTTGCCTAAGGCCATATGGTCTCTGCCGGCGGCAAAGCTAGAATGGAAGCTTTGTCTACTGTACTAGCACAGCTAGCTCCCGACCACTAGCTCTTACCACACATCTTGGTTTGTTGTTTTTCTGCTTGTTTGATTGGTTTTTTAAAAAGATTTATTTATTATTCATTAAGTGTTCTGCCTGCACAATAGAAGAGGGCGCCAGATCTCATTATAGGCGGTTGTGAGCCACCATGTGGTTGCTGGGAATTGAACTCAGGACCTCTGGAAGGCGGCCAGTGCTCTTAACCCCTGAGCCATCTCTCCAGCCCCCTCCAGCTTGTTTTTGAATGGACCAACTGGTGGAGCCATTTCACTCTGAACATCACAATGTCTTTGAGTCACTCTCCTGTGTTCTCTGTGCTGGGAACTGAACCACGGAGATCAATTCCACAACGTGGTGATGGGGCTAAGGGCTCTGCACACGCGGCTCAGGTTATCTCCACTCTATAGATAAGGACAGTCAGACTCAGGCAGTAAGTGGCAGAGCCATCAGTCAGACCCTAGAATACGTGATTCACAAGCCCATTGCTTCACTCCTGAATGTAATCCCCGCCCAGAGTCACCTAACCCTGAAGACACCTTCCCCTTGCTTCACTGACACTTCAGGAGGCCAAGACTGAGAACTGCCACTGCCGGCTTCGGGAGGAAACGTTGGTTAACAAGAGAGCTGTGGTCCAGTGATCACAAGGGCGTGCGTGGATAGCAAAGGATACTCCTGCTTATGATTAGTGGTTGAGAGCCCCGAGCTGTCACTTCCAGCTTCTCATCGGTACAGTGAAGATGATCGAAAGATTTCTCAGAGAACCTGTTTGGTGCAGTAAATTTGCAGTGATGCTGAGTGTTGGCATCACGTTGCATTGTCTTTTAATGGACTACACCTCTAATTGACACGCCTGTAAAGTAATTGTCTTGGGGTTACAGTCGATATGACGAAACAGCATTACCAAAAGCAAACTGGAGAGGAAAGGGTTTCTTCTGCCTGCGTTACTACCTCAAGTCCTCCACTGAAGGAAGTCAGGCAGGAACTCAAACGGGGCAGGAACCTGGAGGCAGGAGCTGATGCAGAGGCCATGGAGGGGTGCTGCTTACTGGCTAGGTCCTCATGCCATCCTCAGCCTGCTTTCTTAGAGAACCCAGGACCACCCGCCCAAGAGTGGCACCACCCTCAGTGGGTGGACCCTGGCTGGGCCCTCCCCAATCAATCTCCTATTAAGGAAAGCCCTATAGGCTTGCCTTCTGGAGGTGGTGTCTCTGTTGAGGTTCCCTCCTGTCAGATGATTCTAGCTTGTGTCAAGTTGACACACAAAACTAGCCAACACAGTAAGAACTGGAATTTTCCCACTTCACAGAAAAGTAGGTAGACGCATAGGGAGGTAATCAGCTATCTCAGATCATGCAGTGATAAAGAAACAGCAAGAGTTCCACCTGAGGGGCCTGGAGAGATGGCTTAGCTGTTAAGAGCACTGACTCTTCTCCCGAGGTTCTGGGTTCAATTCCCAGCACTCACGTGGTGGCTCATTATCACCGGCATCTCCAGTAGCAGGGGATTCGATGTCCTTCTCTGGAGACTGAGGGCACTGCCAAGGAGCCACAACACTCACTGCTCCCCGCCCCCTCCCTATACTGCAGAGCCTTGCCATGCTGAAGGATGGCTTCCGCACAGACAGAGGTTCTCACTCTGACCTATGGTCCAGCAGCAGCTCTCTGGAGAGTTCCAGCTTCCCCATGCCAAAGCAGTTCCTGGACGTGAGCTCACAGACGGACATCTCTGGGAGTGTGAGTAGCCCGGGGTGGTACCTGGGAGGCCGCCCTAGCAGGGCAACTGCTTGTCCTTCATCACTGGAGGAGCTGATCTGTGAATGTTAACTCAGCCAGGTGGAGCTCAGTGAACCCCAAAAGTGGAATGATGATACGAAAAAAATCCTAGTGTTGGCTTCCACCGTCCTAACTACTGCCTGGCCAAGAGCTTATGCCTGTAGGCCCTGCGTGCAATGTGTTTTTAATGGGTGAAGCGCCTTCCTCTCGTTTCTTTCATACTGTTTTGTAGCTCCATTCTGGATCTCTTTCCATCTGGAAAGCAGAGTGCATTTGTCTCATTATTCCACACACAATGCTTACAGCTCTCAGACAGCTGCTGACCCTTGGTGCCAAGGTTCAGTCTGGTCCCAGTCGTGGGTGGTGAAAATGCTGCCAGTCATGAAAATGGCCAAGTAGGACCAGCCCACAGTGAGTGTGGTCTTCAGAGAGCCTTTGCTCTCCTCTCCGGGAGCACAGGACACTGGGTGACCGCCTCCTAGCCTCCACTGGTTAAATGCTGTCCCCGACTGAGTTTGGTAGCTCTTTCCCCTCTAATGAGGGGACACTCTGTCCAAGTGTGATTCCGTGAGCCTGCAGTTACGTTTTCGATAGGCAAGTGTAGAAACAGGCTATTCCCCCTTCCCTGTCCCAGCCATTCACCCAGCCACAGGCCCCCGGAGAGCCAGACTAGGTGTGCTTGCTGCTTTCTGGACTTTTTTCTGACTCTGCAGGGCTTCTGATCTCACTGTAGCCTCCCCGAGTTTTCGGCTATCCCCAAGTTGGTTCTTGTATGTTACCTGCTCCTACCCCTCTCATCCGCAGTCTCTGCTTTTTATCTGCTTTGGCCCTTGACTGATTTTTTTTTTCCTGTAAGATGGAATAGGGGGGCGGACTTTTGTTTCTTTTCCCAAAGTGCTTAAGTTTGAGACCATTCTTATGGCCCGAAGGAAGAAAAGTGTCTTTCTTTAGCTATCTTCCTCCGCAGTCTACACAGCCAGCCCAGTGACTGGGAGCTATTCTTGGCTCTGCCCACGGAAGCTGTCAGGTCTCGCATGAGCTATTGAAACCTCGCTCGACACTGGCCTCGCTGCGGTAACCACGTAATTCCTGTCTCTGTTCTTATCCTGTCCTCCAGTTCGGCACCAGCAGCAGCAACCAGTTGGCAGAGAAGGTCAGACTGCGCCTGCGGTATGAAGAGGCTAAGAGAAGGTAAGTCGGGGCCGGAGCTGGGGAAGGTCATATTTGTAACTCCTGTGGTGAGGCCCCTGTGGACACACCTCCTGCTTAATCTTCACATAGATTATCAAGGTACGGTGTAAGCATCCTTTTATGTTTTGGAGAGGAGATGACTGGCCCAGGACGCTGTGCTAGACAGAGCTGAACTATGTTTGAACCCAGGTCTGTTTAACCTCAGAGCCTAGTAATTTTTCTATTTACCTGGCTTGGATTTGAAAGTTAACGCTTTCTGATGTTCTTGGAATTAGTTTGGTTTGAAGGAGCAGTAGATTTGTTTGATTTGGCCCAGTAACAGGTGAAAGAAGACTACAGACATTTCTCGCTTCACACACCCCCCAAAAAAATGTTATTTGTGTTTTTTGTAACGGGGATTGAACCCAGGGCCCTGTGCGTGCCAAGCAGGTGCAACAACCGCATCTCCAGTTGTTTCTCTAGATATGTTGCTTGTTTGTTTTTAGACAAGGTTTCCCCCATGTTATCTAGGCCGGCTGATCTGTAGTTCAGGCTTTTTAAGCTTTTGGGGGTCAGGGTGGGGTCCTGGGGATTGAATCCAGGGCCTTGCCCATGGAAGGCACTTATATTCTACCAATGAGCCAGGATTCCCACCTGACTTCTTGTTATTATGCATGTATGATGTGTGTGCAGGGACAGTGTTGGGATGCACACATGTTACTGTGCACACGTCCGAAGACAACTTTGTGGAGTCTCTTTACTCCTTCCATACTTAGGTGGGTTCTGGGGATTGAATTCAGATCCCTGAGTGGCAATTGCCTTTACCTGCTGAGTCATCCCACCAGCCCCACAGATGTCCTTGTGAATGAAAATGAACGTAATTATGAAATCAGTCTTAAAATCCTGATGTAACACCTCCCTGCTTCAATAGCTGGTGCTTTCCAGCAGCTTGGGCTCCGGGGATTCGGATGTTCTGTGGCTGCATAGACTCGTAAGCAGCTGGGTTTCACCACTACAATGATAGCATCATAAAGCCATTGTTTCTACTGCATTTGTGGAAAAGCATAGGAAGATTGCGTGTTGTACTAAAAAGAGTTGTGCACCGACCGGCTTATCCAGTTTTAAAAACTTCCCGCAGAGCTGAGGAGATGGCTTACTGGGTAAGGGCGATTGCTAATGAGCCTATCAGAGTTCAATCCCAGGGATCCACGCAGGAGGGAGAAGTGACTCCGGCAAGTTATTCTCTGACCTCCGTACACATGTGGCATGTAGCATAGCATGCAGCCCTACACACCTGCATAAACAGACAAGCAAAATGTGATACCTTAAGAAAATAAAAAGCCAGAGTTGTGGTGGTGCACGTCTTCCATTCCAGCACTCAGAAGGAAGAGATGGATGGACTTAAAGGCCAACCTGGTCTACAAAGCGAGTTTCAGGACAGGCTCCAAAGCTACACAGAGAAACCCTGGCTCATAAAACCAAAAAGGAAGGAAGAAGGAAGGAGGAAGAAAGGAAGGAAGGAAGGAAGGAAAGAAGGAAGGAAGGAAGGAAGGAAGGAAGGAAGGAAGGAAGGACAGAGTTCCTATCTTGCTATCTATCTGTTAGAGGGGAGAAAAGTTTGACCAGGATGTTCCGTGGCTCTCCCAGGTAGCACAGTTAGTATTTGAACCCTGGATGTTCCGGCTTTGAGTTCATGGTATTCTTTCTACATGATGCACTAGCGTTATTGGGAAAGAGCTAACTGGCCATTTTGGTGGTGGCTAAACTTAGTGGCATGCATTGTTTTCTAGACCAATTGGCGGTCTGTGAAGCATCTCCATGGAGCCAGCTAGGATGTTGCCCAGCCTGAGGCTCTGCCCATTCCCATTGGGCAGCACAGCTCCTGGCACTAGCATCAGAAACTGAGTAGAAACCAAAGGAATGAAAGAAAACGGAATTCCGCAGGCTAACCCACCCCTCCCCCAGCAGGGGGACTTTTGGCATCAGGCTCCGCTAGATCCAGGGTTCGGATGGTACAGCTAAAATTTAGTTTCATCCTCTCTGCCCTGCTTGTTGACTCGCCCTCTGTGTTGGCTTCATCCCCAAGTAGGCTTTCCTCATCAAAACAGCAAGATGGACATCCAGCAGGTGTGTTATGCTTACCTACCTCCAGGTTTCCAGCCTCCTCAGAAAGGCCACCTCTTTCCCCACAGATGGATCTTTTACTAGGGACTCTTGTTTGTCTGATTTGGGGGTTGGAGTATAACTGTGTTCTCGGTTTTTTGAGACAGGGTCTTGCTACGACTCCCAGGTTGGTCCCGATATCATTGTCCTCCCAAGCCGTGTTCCTAATAGGTTTGATAAATACTGGGTCTGAGAGAGAGTCACTGGTAGGTTTTGAATGGCCTGTCGTTGTTGCAGGGCCAGTAGAGGATAGGGGGAATTACCACTCCCAGAAGATCCAAGCACGGGTCTTGTGCTCATGCTGGGATGAGGATTGAGGTCAGCGCACCAAGTGACCTGAGGACCTATCATTTCCTCAGGAGAAGCTGGGCTAATAACAAGGAAGGAATTGGATGACGCTCCGGTGGGAAGAGTTTTCTTTCGTGTGCACTGTTTCAGCTCCCCCTAGGGGCTTAGCAAGACTGCAACAGTTGTATATTTGTGCCTCCCATCCTTGACCTTCTGATGTCTTCCAACCTGTGGGTGGCAATGTATATCTTAGATAACCAGTCCTAGAGAGACTGAAGGAGTGAACTGTCCCCCCCGGGACTGAGACATTAAATGTCTCACTACCACCGAAAGCTGAATTTGAGAGAGAAGACAGCCCTTTATGGGATGGGGAAACAGAGGGCGCAGGTCTTAAAGAAGGGGAGAGATGGAGCAGTAATTCATGGAGATCTCCCTTGGCCGGCGCCTTCCAGGTTTTGTCCCCTGTGCATCTGAGAGAAGGACTAGTAGTTACATCTGATTCTCCAAAGGATGGACGACCTAAAGTTTAAAATATAGTGGCCTGGGAAAGCCACCCTGGAAAGTACACACAGGAATGCATCAGTCACTTTTCAGTGTCCTGCTGTAGCTGAGTCCCACCAGCACTATTGTACCATTCTAGCCTTTGAGCACTGGGAGTCAGCAACCACAGGCATAGTCGTCCATTGCTGTGTACATGAATACAAAATCAAATAATTAACTTAGAACTCCTGCGAGGACTCTTGGTTGGAGAACAAGCTAGATGGATTTGTCTATATAGAACCTTGGCTGCATACCACAAGGCATCTCAAATCCAACAGTATTTGGTAAAGAAAGTTTGGTCACATTTCATATAAGTGAGCTGAAACGTCAAGTCCATAGGACTGGGCTCACTACAAAGACTGGCCATGTGTGATGATTTTTGATCTCAAGTGAGCCCTAAAGTGCCTGTCCGATGAGATCAGTGAGTCTTTTGTGTCTGCCCCTTAGCGATGCAGTAACACTAGAGCCCAAGACCCCAGAGCACTTTGCAGAGACCAGATCCTAAAAGACAGTGGTGTGCTCGCTCTTGGGGGTTTATGACAATACTCTTTAAGTAGCATGGGAATAATTGCCATTGTCTGCAGAACGCCTGACAATATGTAGAGTTCTTGTTGCAAATTTTCCATGTGGTGCTCATGGGCTGTCTCTTTGGTTACCATCGTTGTCCCTACCTTACAGTTGAGGATTCTAAGTCTTAGAAAAGTTAAGATTCAGGGCTACTGGCTGCTTTCCTTAGTATTCAATAACTGCCTACAATTGACCAGGCGTTGTACTAGAAGCTCTGATACCGAAACGATTTTCATTGTTTCTTCTGGGAACCGAACCCAAGGCCTCGTGTGTGTGAAAGCACAGAGGCCCCCAATGTTCCCAGCCCCTCAGATGATTTTTCCCCAGGAGACGATTCTTTCCATCATAAAAGTCAAGGCCAGAACTCCTAACTCAGGGTCTCTGACTGAGACTGTCTCACATGTCTCATGACTGTTCTCACAGTACCATTACTACACTCAGAAAGAACTGAGAGCACACAGGTAGCCACGGCCCAGTGATTTCCCCTTGCCGATGGCTCAGCCCCATTCATACACAGCACACTGCGTACGTCATGCCTGGCTTTCATACCCACTCTGGACATAAGTTATTGCTTGTCTCAGCTCCAAGGCTCAGGACATCTTCCCAGTGTTACATAACTAGTATCAGTGGTCCAACCAGTGATGGAAGTAGCATAGAAACATTTATGGAGGGCTTACTATATGCCAAATACTATGCTTTGAGTGTGTCTATGTGTGTGCATGCATGTGCCACCACCCTGGGAAGGAGATCTTATAATTCCCTTCAGAGATGTGAGCACCTCACCCAGGGTCCCAGAGCTCCTGGTAAGAAACTGTTGCCTGCCATGGTGTCCAATCTCTACTGCAATGGCCCAGGAGCTGAGCAAAAAGGAAACAGTAGTTGTCTGCTCTGAGGACATCCTGGATCCTGGTACTTCATGTCCTTAGAAGAACCACCCATCTTCCAGTTCCTATAACGTCATTGTTCATCTATCACGCTCACTTTCTCAACCCCCCAGGATCGCCAACCTCAAAATCCAGCTGGCCAAACTTGACAGTGAGGCCTGGCCTGGGGTGCTAGACTCAGAGAGGGACCGGCTGATCCTCATCAACGAGAAGGAGGAACTGCTGAAGGAGATGCGCTTTATCAGCCCCCGGAAGTGGACCCAGGGAGAGGTGGAACAGCTAGAGATGGCCCGGAGGCGACTGGAGAAGGACCTGCAGGCAGCCCGGGACACCCAGAGCAAGGCACTGACTGAGAGGTGGGTCTGGGCTGAGCAGGTGGGGCCTAGGGGAAAAAGAAAACATGCCAATCTGACCTGATAGCCCTGCTGGAGCCAGGAGTCAGGGTCATAGTGGGGATGCCTGAGCAGACCGGTGAGCACTCTCATTTAGAGTTGTTAGCCTTCCAGAGTGGCACATCAGAAGTTATGGCTTACGTTCCTGTGCACCAGGACCCTAGTACTTCACACAGGAGGCTCTCAGGAGGGTGTCTGCTCCCTGAAATAAGCCCCACAGCACCTGATCAACTGGGATAGTGGTTTTCCAGGGTTGTAACGGTGACTCTCAGTCTCTTAGGTGACGGGAAATTCACAGGTTTCACAGAGTGAACATTTCTCTGCTTTACCAACTAGGCTTGTACCTGTTGTTGCCGGGGAAATGATTCCCCTTGCTTATTTCTGTTCCCAAACACATACACACCTTTGCATTCCCTGTGTGGGAGTTTGGGGCAGGGGATGTACTCTGAAGTTTCCTCTCTTCTGTTAAAAAGAAAGTCCTTGGTACTCTTGGGTTCCTGATCCTGGAAATCAATCACAGATTGAATATGTTTGAAGAGTAGATTAAAAATTAATATATAAAAAAATACAAATATTCAATGCATTATCTTAACAACTCAATTATGGCACTTACATTGTGTTGGGATGCCCTGTATAGAGATGCTTTAAAGCATACAGGAGGGCAGGTGGGATGGCTTAATAGGTAAAGGTGGTTGCCACCTAGCCTGACAACCTGAGTTTAATTCCTAGGATCTACAAAGGGGAAGGAGAGGAAAAGCTGCTCACAAACGTACACAGAGACACACACATACACACACACTAAAATAATAATAAATCATACAGGATGATATGTATACAGACACGGTTTTAGATATAGGCAGTCTTAAACATCTGAATGCTTTGTTATCAACAGGAATATTTGGAGTCGTACCCAGAATATGCCGTTATTTTCTTTTTCTTCTTCACGACCCACTGCACTGATTTCAGCTCGTCCCCAAGGGCTGACGTCTGACGGCCAGTGGCCTAGGGGTTGCAGACTAAAATGCTTACAGGCCAAGCATGTGATGGAAATGCTGGAGGCGCACCTAACTGTAGACCCGTCCATCTGGGGGGCACTGACCCTGCTTGTTTAATGTGGATGCTGCCTCCTAGATCCAGCGAGCAGGCTCTAGGGCTCTGTGTGGCCCGTGGTCCTTATATTTCTTTTTTGTAGTTCTTAGGCCTGCAACCCAGGGCCTCACACATGCTGGCAAGTGCTCCACTACTGAGCTGTACACCAGAGTGGAACTTCAAAAGGTTATCAATTGGATTTTTAATTTTCAAATACTGACAATTAATGTAAACTGTAAAGACTGTGAGCCAGCCTCGTGTGTGACATTGAGACCTGTTTCAGACTCAGTACTTCCTTTGGTGCTCCTTGCGACCTCTTCTCCCAAATTACAAAATAGAAAATTATTGCTGAACGGTGGTGACACATGCCTTTAATCCGAGCACTCAGGAGGCAGAGGCAGGTGGATCTCTGTGAGTTCGAGGCCAGCCTGGTCTACAAGAGCTAGTTCCAGGACGGGCTCCAAAGCAACACAGAGAAACCCTGTCTTGAAAAGCGAAACAAAAACAATAGAGAATTATGCTTAAAGGAGGCCTTTTAGTCCCCAGACATTCACCCGACATCCATTCACTCACTCGTTCATACCCACCATCATTCAGTCTGCAAAGGCTGACCTGTAGCATGACATCTGTCTGTGTAGCAATCTGGAGCATTCAGAAGTTAAGAGGACTGTTATCTGAGGTCAAAGTGAGAAGCCTGCTGTCGGTGAATCAGTGTGTTGGTTACTCTCTGTTACTGTGAAGAAGCAGTGTGACCAAGGCAACTTCGAGAAGAAGAGTTTATTTTGGCTTATGGTCCAAGAGGGTTGGAGTTCATCCTGGCAGGGACCATGGCAGCAAGCAACGGAGCAGCAAACTGAGGGGTCATATCTTAAACACAAGCAGAGAGTGGAGAGAGAGAGAGAAAGCCAACTACAAATAGGGCAAGGCCTGAAGCTCTCAAATCCTGTCCCCGGTGACATACTTCCTCTAGTGAGGCCATACCTCCTAAATGTCCCCAAATAGCTCTACCAGTTGGGAACCAAATGTCCAGGTAGATGAACCTATGGAGGACACTCTCATACAAGCTGCCCCCGTACCAAAGGAATTCCTCCATAGCAACCAGATCTGCTGGAAACAGGACCTCAGGCCTCCCAGTTTCTAGGATTGTATAATGCAGGAGAGTGTGTATGTGTGTGAGAGACACAAAGCAAGAGAGAATGAGAACACAACACGGAAGAGTGGCAGCGTTTTTCTAAAAACCTACAAGTCTCTTCTGGCTATTTTCATTCTGTCCGTAGCAGATTTTGAGCAGCATCTCCCCGCCTACCACTTAAGGCGTGCAGAATCGAAGCTAGTGATTTTTCATTCTAATTTCTTTATATTAACATAAACAGTGCTTGTAAATATTTACAAAGCAGGACGCTATTTCAGCACATGTCCACCTTGAATAATTACGACACCAGGATAATTGGCATTCCCATTGTCAATATTTCTCATTTCTGTTTTCGGAGCTTTCAGAATCTTCTTGCTGTTTTGAAATAACCTGTCCACTGCAGCTATGTGACCACAGCACGGAGCCTCAGAACTAATTTCTCCCATGAGAATGTATTTCGGAACTCATTATCCGACCTCCCTCTAGCCTTCCCAGTCACCATGGTTCTTCTCTGCTCCTATGAGATTGATTTCTGTAGCTTCTAAAAATGAGAACATGAAGCATTTATCTGTACCCGGTTTATTTCATTTAACGAAACGTCTTCCAGACCCATCTATCTTACTCCAAATGACAGTATTTCATTCTTTTTTTTTATGATTTAATAATATTTGTACAAGCAGATACACACCCACGCAACCACACTGTGATTTTCAAATGTGCATAATTGTTCAGGAGCAGGAATAAGCGAGGGGATTCATTTTCCCAGCAATGTCAGGCATAAGTCTAGTTTGTAAAGCAGGGGAACATGCATGCACCTCATGGGGAGCAGTCTGGAAAGGCCGGGCGCCTGTATGTGTTCTGCATATACACGGCCCATGGCCCTTAATCTCTAAAACACCCAGCTCGCAGCAGCATCCTAGCTACTGAGTAAGCTCCGTTTTCACTAGCATCTGATGCTTGCCCTGACCCTGGGGCCTTCAAGAATCCCATGATTGCTGACTGGACCAATCTTTCCAACCAGGCACATTCAGAACTACTAACGGAGACATCCAAAGTCTCTCGCCTTCCCTTCTATCCTCCACTGGCAGGAATGGCTGGCCAGCTCTGACCCGTCAGCAATTTTCGTATAAGGAGAACAGCAGACCTTAAATAACTGGTGTTTTACAGCCCACACCGGCACTTGCCTGAAGGCACCATGCTGGTTTTCCCGGAGCCATACCCTTTGGGGATAAGGGTTCTGTCTGTATGCCTGTACCTTTAGAAAGTAAAAGTGGATGGGAGGCCTGGGCAGGTGCTTAGTGAACGTTTGTGCCCGTGCCTGGACTTTCACCTGTGACTAGACCCAGTGACTGTCCCTGGGAGTTGTTGGTCGTCCATCCCCTTCTCTGCCAGAAGCTGGAGAGGACACACTGACCACAGCCCTACTTGATTCTTGCTGGGTCAAAAGAGGTACCTTATGCCTGTTAACCCTGACTAAGCTAGTGACCAGTATGGGCTTCATTTGCCTCACAGAGAAAAAAGAAGAAGGCAAAGGCACCAAGTACCGGAAGTCTATGGGCAGGCATTTTGGGCCAGATTGTGAACGGAGATATTCTAACTTCGTTTCCTGAAGTTAGAACGAGAAGATCCTTCAGGCACCCTGAAGGTGCCCTGGTCACGGGCCAGACCCTATCGTTTGTCTAGTAACTTGACGGCATGCTTTACAGATGAGGAAATGAAGGCTCGCTTGACATCACCCAGTGACAGAGCTGGGATTAGAAGCCTCTAGATTCTAGCGCCTACTCCGTTTAGGCAGCTGCCCACTCAGAAGGCCTTTCAGTATTGCTTTCGACCCCATCTTTCGAAGGCCCAGGAGCCCCAGTGGAACAGTGAATCCACACAGCCAGTCTAGGGAATCAAGACTCTCCACTCCTCCACTGATCGGGCCACACGAGGGTTCTGGGGGACAAGGTCCCTGGGCGCATGCAGCAGTCAGGAAGGCCGTGGGCACAGGGCAAGATGCCACTTGTGCCCTAAGAGGGGTCTGAAGAGAGAAGCCAAAGGAATGGCGGGGACGGTGCTGATGGATCTCAGGCCACTTGATTCTGATCCCTGTTGTCTATATTCAGTGCGGTGGGGGGGGGGGGGCTCTAGATTCCCGCTTTCTTTTTCTGTAAGTCTCTCCCTCCCTCCCCTCCCCCTCTGTGTCCCTTTGTCTCTGTTCTCTTCCCTTTAGCATCCCATGCCCTTTTTGCATTCCACCACCCCCCCTTCTTTCTCCTTCAGGTCTGTCTTCACATTCTTTGCATTCCCTGTGATTCACTCTCTCTGTGAACCACGCATCAGAGCTGGTGTACCATCACACAGGATGCTTGTTAGATCATGGGCACCACAGCCCCACCCCGGGGACCAGTTCTTCAGGCCTGAGATGCAGCCCAGGCGATTGCATTTTTAACCAGCACCCCAGGTGCCTAGCTACAGCTTGTGGGCGTTCAGGGGGGGGGGGGGGGCACCCCTTGGATCTTCTGCCTGTTTCCACAGTTTTTGTATTCACGGCCTCCCAGCATGTGCCCGGCACATCACTCACACGCCATCTGGCCTGCTAAGCCTGTTGTCGCTGGAAGGGGACCGCAGCACCTGCGTGTAACTGTCTGTGGCTGTCCTTGCCTGCTCAGGAAGTCAAGTAGTTCCCTCGCTGTCCTGCCCAGGCTCCAGTGGGGACCTGCATTTGCTCCCAGCATACTCAGGCGTGCGCTATAGAAACCACGAGCTCCACTTCTCGACCTCAGACGTATCCTCCGCTGTGAGCTTTCCTCTTAGAGAGGGATGGGATATTGCACGGCCTCGTCCATTCCCTTGAGAAATCTGGGATTTGTTCACTAAAAGCCCCATCTGCCAGCCTCTTCTCTGTCCCCATCAGGTCAGGCAAGAATCTGGGAGGAAAGCTCTGGAAATTGAGCTGGCCAAGACTCATGCCAAGGCCAGTCAGCCTACCGGTGGCATCCTGTTCTGTCTTGTCAGGGATTTCACAGGTTCTCTTGCCCAGGAGCAAGCACGGCGTGCCCTCTGCACACTTGTGTCAAGGGCCACCTCCGTTCTCATGAGCTAGAGGCCTGGCTGTTGTGGTAGAGAGATGACCTGGCTTGGTTTGATTTTGTGTGAAAACCAGCCCTTGTCCTCAGGCGCCAGGCGGGGCTGACTGAGCTCTTGGTGCCTTCCTGGGTCCAGAGAGCAAGGGCCAGTCAAGCCCCTTCTCCAGCAGACTGGCAGGGAGGAACAATGGTTCACTTTGACGTGAGAATGTATCATCCAGACCCCACAGTAGAGTGAATGAACTCGCCCGCTTCACCAGGAAAAGAATGACCCTTTCCTCCCCACCTCCTGTCTACAGAGCCGCTTAAATTTCCCTATTAGTAGGGGATCGTGGACAGTAATAAATAATCCCAGATCTCGTGGATAAACACTCTTGAAGTTTGAGTCTTACCCATGTAATATCTTAATATTCCCAGTAACTGCCAGCCCCCCTTGTCATTGAAGAGCTCACAGCCCTTCTATCTCTCCTTTAAGGCCACAAGGATCTGAGGAAGACACTTCCTTAAACACTTCAGGCTGATACACGTGCTGTCTGCTCAGATCCCATTGTCTAGAGGTTGTTCAAGTGCCTCAGCCAGCCGTAAGAGAGCCTGGGAACCCAGGACACAGGCAAGAGCGGGTGCCAGAAATCTGGCCGCAAAGCCATTTGCTCAAAGTCTAAATTAGGGATCCCATCCTCTGCTCTTTTCTATTCTTCCGGACCTTGCCACACCCTCCTCTAATTAGATGCCTGTTGTCCTCCACCCTCCATGCTCTGTAAGAGTGTCAGCGAGTTCTCTTTCCCAGGGACAGCATCTAGTGTGACCTGGGTACTCAATAAATCGTGGTTGATGGAAAGAAGGAGGGAAGGAAGAGTGGGAGGGAAGGGCGCTTTGGTGGAATCCTAATTCTCCCACGCCATTCACAGTTTTGAGTAAATTATGTAACCAAGAGCCTCAATTTCCTCATCTGTAAAATGATTAAAAATCAATCTTCACGTGCACATATCATCATAAAATAAATCCATGCACTATGTTTAGGTTCCTGGTGTAGTAACCTAGTCCGTAAGGTGTGGCAGGTAGCAACACGATTACTACAGAATTTGTGTATGAATTGACTGTATGTCTTCACCACACCCTAGTGAGATGTTTTTACGGTAGCCCCTGTGCACGTGTCCCTCGGTTGCCGTGTCCATCTGTCAGGGCACAGACCTCGTTTTCCTTTTCGGAGATCCAAAGGGGACCTGGAGCACGACAATCCCTTTGGGGCGGCAGCATCATGCCTTCTCTTCCTTCAGGTTGAAGTTAAACAGCAAGAGGAACCAGCTGGTGAGAGAACTGGAGGAAGCCACTCGGCAGGTGGCCTCTCTGCACTCGCAGCTGAAAAGGTGAGTGGTGGGTGGTGGCTGTCCCCATAGCGATGGCTGGGAGGTGGTCCAGCTCCATGATGCCCTTCACCGATCCCCCTTGACTATGAGACGCAGAGAAGGAGGTTATTCTACCAGATATGGGCTTGGCCAGGGTGGTCCTTCATCCCTTGGGACTATACACACAGAGATGGCCCCAGGAAGATGCCCATGTGTGTGAAATCCTGTCACTTCCACCTGCTAGCCCACTTCTATAGCACACAGTAGGCTTCCATAAGCTCAAGCCTTAGAATACTTAACTCAGGCTGAAGTATATTACTGGATCATCATAGTAGCGTTTTGTTACGTTTCTCTCCCTTCCTAGTCCCCAGCAAAAGTGGTTTCTTCCTGTTTATAGCAATAGAAACTGCCTGTCAGTTGACATTTATGATGTAAGGTCTCCTTTTAACTTAAATATTTTAACATATTAAAAAGCTGGGACTGGGCATGGTGTCCCGCGCCTTTAATCCCAGCACCCGGGAGGTACAGCCGTTGGATCTCTGAGGCCAGCCTGGTCTACATAGCAAATTTTAGGCCTGCCAGGGCTACACAGTGAGACCTCCATCTCAATCAGCCAATAAATAAAAGAAAATAAACAAGCAAAAGTATTTCAATAAAGTTGCAATGTGAGCAATAGGAAACAGGGGCAGAAGGAAACTGGAAGCCAGGTGTGTGGCTTCCGACTCTCATCCCAGCACTCAGAGCTTCAAACAAGGGCATCAAAAGTTTGAAGCCAGCCTGACCTACAAAGCAAGAGGACTGAACTTGGGCCCACAGCCCAGCTCTGCTACTTTGGGTACATGACCTTCTCAGGATCTCTTATTTTCTCCTGAGTGGAATCGGGTCCCTAGCCCAGCTTAGGCTGTCAAGTAGGCTAGGAAGACAGATACATACCCAGTACCCTTAGCGTTTTCCAGACCTGGTGGAGTTCCCTGAAGCCGGCTCACTGCATTGTCCTCTCTCTCTTTCTCTTCCTCTCCCTGTCCCCAGCCTCTCAAGTAGCATGCAGTCCCTGTCTTCAGGCAGCAGCCCTGGGTCACTCACATCCAGCCGGGGCTCCCTGGCTGCCTCCAGCCTGGACTCCTCCACCTCAGCCAGCTTCACTGACCTCTATTATGACCCGTTCGAGCAGCTAGACCCGGAGCTCCAGAGCAAGGTGGAACTGCTCTTCCTGGAGGGCGGCACAGGCTTCCGGCCCTCGGGCTGCATCACCACCATCCACGAGGATGAGGTGGCCAAGACACAGAAGGCAGAGGGAGGCAGCCGCCTGCAGGCCTTACGCTCCCTGTCTGGCACTCCAAAATCCATGACTTCCCTGTCGCCACGCTCCTCTCTCTCCTCCCCGTCCCCTCCCTGCTCCCCTCTCATCGCTGATCCCCTCCTGTCTGGAGATGCCTTTCTGACCCCACTGGAGTTTGAAGACACAGAGCTGAGTACTGCTCTCTGTGAGCTGAGCCTCGGCAGCAGCACCCGGGAAAGATACCAGCTAGAGGAATCAGGACCTGAGGGCAAGCCACTGGGCCAAGGTATGGAGCCTGGGGTCCTTATTTGGAACCAGGAGGCAGGGGGTTCCTGTGATAATTCCTGACTACTGTCGATGGCTGAGTCTTTACGTGGCTGGTTATTTATTCAGTAGATCCTGACAAATGCAGAATGTGCTAGGTCCTGGGCTAGGGTTTTGCTTTGTTGTGGTAGATTTCATTCAATAGCTACTCAGCACCTACCAAAATGAATCCCAGATCCTGGGCTCATTGAATATACATGGATTAATTCTGCTAAGCTTTCCACAGACATGTCATATGGCAAATTTAGTTGCTAAGGACCCGTGCAGTTGAGTGTACATGGATTAGCTAAGCTTTCCACAGACATGTCAAATGGCAAACTTGGTTGCTAAGGACCCGTGTAGATGACAGACACCGCTCTTAAAAAGCATAGGTTCCTCTGGAGCCACGTGCACTAGATACATACCAGACAAAAGCATGTGAAGTAAATCCAGCAGGGCATGTGTGAGAGCCTTTGAATGTGGGTGAGGTGGCTCTTTGAGAATGGATAGAGGTTTAAATGATGAGAAGGGCTTGGTTGGGGGCCTGGGTATAAGAAGGTGTGGTAGCATTCAACTATAATCCCAGCATTTAGGAGGAAGGGGTGTGAGGGTTAGGAGGTCGAAGTCATCTTCCACTATGCAGCCTCTTTGGTTGGGAGTTTTGAAATTGTATCTCAAAACACAAAAGCAATGGGTAGAGGTGCTGGCTGCACAAACTTGACAGCTGAGTTCAATACCCTGAACCCACGGTGAAAAGGAGCGCTGACTCCCAAAAGTTGTCCTCTGACCTCCGTATGCGCGCCATGGCACGCTTGTGTGCACACATGCACATAAATACACACAATGAGAGGAAGGAAGGGAGTGAGTGTATGGGGCCATAGCAGTGGTTGTGACTTGGGACCAAGGAAAGCTATGGGTCAGTGGCAGCGTCCTGGTCATACAGGACCTGGTAGTGGGGTGTGGATTATATACTAATTGTAGCAAGGACCTTGGGAACCCTAGGAATGGCTTGCATTTCTTCATGAAATCAAAGAGAGCATTCTGGTTAGGAGTCAGATGGGAATCTTCAGATTAGATGCTGCTGGTGAAATTGATTGCCTAGGTTTATGGAAAAAAAAAAAAAACCATAGCCGCTGCCACAGAATGCAATGCAGTTCTCTTATCTGAGATTGAGATGTACTGGAGAGAGAGAGAGACAGAGACAGAGACAGAGAAGGGAGGGAGGGGGAGGGAGGGAAGAAGGAAAATGGATTGTTTCTTCTCTTCCCATTTCATAGATGAGAAGGCTGAGGTTCAAAGAGGTCACATCTACTGGCCAGGCTTGTCCTCGCAGCAAATGAGGAAGCTAGGTCTTTCTGATCTCAGAGCCCAATCCCTGGATGGGTTCAGTGTCCCACAAATGTGTGACTCTCTTGGCACTTGCTCGCCCCACCTGGACATGATGTAGCAGAGTGCCCAGCAAGCTCATCTATGGCCCCCACCTTGCACCCACAGTGCCCTAGCAACCACAGTATTGGTTTTTGTGCTTGGGTCGAGGCATCCAAGGTTCACTCAGGTCCTGGAGCATGTGTCTATCCATTTAAGCCTCATCCCTCTGCGAAGTGTGCATTGTCTTTTTTAGAATGGGCAGTAGCGTGGCTGCTGTGCCTGGAACTGCCAGTCTGTGCATAGGAGTCAGTAGCGCGGGAGTGAAGTTTCACAGTTAACTAAAGGCTCCTGGTGTCAGCCATTTCTTTAAAGAGGGACTGAGAGATCCCTGGGGTTCCATCATCAGGAAGGGAATCTCGCTGAGTTCTCCCGAACAAAAATAAAAACAAGCCTCCTCTTATGGCAGGTGGCAAGCCTCAGGAAATTGATCCCCAGGGAGAAGGGGGTGTGGGTAAAAGCTCTTCCTTGGCTTAAGAGGTCTTTGTTCAGAATCCAGGGCCACATCAGGACATTCAGACTCCAACCTGGTCCTGGAAAGAGGCCCTCCTGGTCCCCCTCCCCCCCCCCCCATCTCCCCTTCCAACAGTGGTCTCCGAACTCCTGGGCTAAAGACAGCAAGGTGACAACCTGTTTCTTTCACGCCATCTCCAGCAACCTTGCCCTGCTCTGAGCTATGCCAGGCAGGGCTCAGCCACTAAGCAGGTTATGCGATTAGTGCTGCCGTTCAGTCAGCAGACAAATTAATCTCCTTAAGTGGTTTAGTGGAGAGCGGAGAGAGAGCAGGGCTGAAGGTGGGAAGTCTCCCCCAGGGCTCAGCAGGTGTGGCACAGGGCTGGGAAAGCCTTTTTCCTGCATCTCCGGCACCAGATGTATCCCAGGCTCTCCTCACCAAAATGGCCTGTTTCCCCAGCCTGCTAAAACCCCCATCTCAGTGTGCCACCATACATCCAGCCCCTGGGTCGTCTCCGTCTACCCCAGAACTGGGCTTGCACAGTGCTTATAGGAGTGTTTGGCTGTAGGGTGAAATACCTGGAGCTAGCCTTCATGGACAGCAAGATGTGATTTCTTCCCATCTGTAGCTCAGGGTCTGGCAGTGGGTCCTGCGTGCCATTATTTGGGCATGGAGGAAACGTGGACCACATGCAACGAGCCCAGTTATGACCCCAGCCAGAGACTTCTGCTAAGGGAAGAGAGGGGGAGAGAAGGAGGAGCTGGCTATGGCTGCATCCTCCCTTGCTTTCCTTTAATAGGCAAAGGGCTGTTAATTTGTCCCGGGTGTGTAGGGAAGACCTAGAAAACAGTACTACTCTCTGCGCAGGATGACTCTGTCTTGTAATCCCAGCACCGAGGAGGTTTAGGCGGAAAGATCAGGAGTTTGAAGCTCATCTTGGATACACCCTATAATCCAGTCTTAAAAACCCAAACCTGTCAGGTCTGGAGAGCTAGTCAAGTGTTTGCTTCACAAACATGAGGGCCTGAGTGAAACTCCCAGAATCCGCGTTTAAAAGGTGATAAGAAGCCAGTATTGGTAGTGTGTGCATCTAATCCTAGCACTAGAAGGCCGAGATGTGGATCCCTGGGGCTTGCTGGCCAACTACTCTATCTTAATGGTGAGCCTTAGAGATATGGTTCTAAGATATGGGAGACCCTGTCTCAAAGAAACAAGGGGTGTGGTTCCCGAGGAACAGCACTTGAGTTGACCTCTGGACTGAACATGTATGTATACATCGCACAAGCACCTATACACTTGTGTGTGCACACATGCACGCACACACACACACACACACCCTGAACCTCACAGAGGAATTGAAGTCTCCATACTGTGGACTTTCCCCCATTCAGTCCCCTAAAGTAAGTGTTGTTATCTTCACCTCACGAAGGGGAAACCTGGGACTTACTTAGGTTCAGTCAGTGTCCCATGGTCAAAAAGCAGCCTATGGCAGAGCCATGTTTGAAACCAGGCAGTTTTATATTTTATGTGAATGAGTGTTTAGCATGCTTGCACTTATATGCACCACATTTGTGCCCATACCTTTAAAAGTCAGAAGAGGAAAGCAGATCCCCTGAATGTGTTTGTGGTGTGTGTGTGTGTGTGTGTGTGTGTGTGTGTGTGTGTGTGTGTGTAGCGAGAGAGAGAGGATTTATTAGAATGACTTACAAGCTGTGGTCCAACTAATCCAATATGGTTGCCTATTACCAGAGGGTTCTAAAATCCAGCAGTTGTTCTCTCCACGAGACTGGATGTCTCAGCTGGTCTTCAGTGTGCCCCAGAATCCCAAATAAGTAGGCTCTAATGCCAGGGGTGAGGAATGAACTTGCCAGCAAAGGCAAAACAAACAGGCAAAGAAAGAGAGAGTTTTCTTCTTCTGTGTCCTTATATAGGCTTCCAACAGAAGGTATAGTCCAGATTAAAGGTTGATCTGTCCATCCCAAATATCTGGATTTAAAGTGGATCTTTCATGTCAAATAATTTAATTAAGGAAAAAAATCCCTCACATATGTGCCCAGCTATTTGGGTTTTAATTAATTCTACATGTGCTCAAGTTGATAAGCAAGAACAGCCATCACAGCCATGAAATCACATATGACCCCTTCCCTTGTCCCAAGTCAAGAAGGACCTGACTAGAGTGTTCAGAGGTGTATTCGAGTTCACTGGAACCCTTAGGAGAGCGGGTCAGAACTGTGTGATTTCGGAACTTGACTTTCTTTCGTCTTTCCCTTCTCTCATCCAGCGGCAGGTGTGGCCCCAGGGTGTGGCCTGAAAGTGGCCTGTGTGTCTGCTGCAGTGTCTGACGAGTCCGTGGCTGGGGACAGTGGTGTGTACGAGCCTTCTGCGCAGAGGTGGGTCCCTGGCTGGTGTTCCGTTCCTGGGGAGTGTGGGAGCCCTGGATGTTCAAGCCCACGCTCCAAAGGATGTGGTGGGGCTGCAGAAGGGTATTTTGGGTGCCCTAGCCTTTCCCCAGGCAGCTCTCTTTGGAGCCATGCCCAACATGCAGGCAGCAGAGATGCAGGTGGTATCCATGGCTCCCAGGGCAAATGTGGGTTCTGGGGTGACAACTGTAAAGTGTGTGCCAGGGGAATAGATGCTAGAGAAATGGAGTATATTCTAAAGAAGGGTCCTAAGCACCCTGGAAAATGAGGATCCAGGGACACACTGAGCACGCAGCTAGCAATCTAGGCTCACAGCAGGCAGGAACCCTGAGTCCGGAAAAGGCTTTTGTTCGTGGGCAGCTTTGGGGACACTAACCCCTTCCCCTGGTGTCTTATAATAGACTGGGCACTTCTGAAGCTGCTACATTCGACAGTGAAGAATCAGAAGCCATGGGAGCCACCCAGGTTCAAATTGCCCTGAAGTAAGTGATGGGGGGGGGGGCGGGGGAGAGAGGACAAGGACAGAGGAAGGGTTTATATAGGGCCTCTTCTTCATTGACAATATTGTACCTTCATACCTTCATGGCTATCCACGGAAGAAGCAGGACCCACCAGCCTTGGTGGTCTCCTGAGTACTGGCCCCTTCACCACAGATGAGGAATGCCAAGTTTCTTGTGACTGGTGTAGATCTGGACAGCGGCTGAGCACACAGGCTTTCTGCTTGCTGAGTATCTGCTCTGGTGGTGGTTGCCTTTGCATCCCCTTCCAGGTTCCAACGATCCTAACTCAGGATTGTTGACCCTGGAGAGCACAGCCCAGCTCTGACGTGTGCACTGCTGTTGCTGGTGTCTTCTCTTCCTGGGGGGATGACTTCCACGTATTCTTACACAAAAATGTTAATAACGGAAAATTTCATACCCCAGTTTATGTTGGGTATAAAAACCATGGAAAAATAAAAGCGGGTGATTTCAGGATCTGAGTAAAATTGAAATGAGTGGACCAGTTGGATGGCTTACCCAGTAAAGACACCACAGAAACCCGGGTTCAATCCCCAGATCCAGGCACGGCGGTGCACGTCTTTAATCCCAGCACTCAGGAGGCAGAGGCAGGTGGATCTCTCTGAGTTGGAGACCAGGCTGGTCTACATATCAAGTTCCAGGCTATATAGTAAGACTTTGTTTAATAACAAACAAACAAATAAAAATTCAGATGGCTGCCAGTTCTGGACCTGTATCTGGTCGTGGCAGCAAAGCTGAAGGTGGGTACTGTTCAGCTCACCACACTGGACAGAGCAGCCAGCAGCACTGACTGATGAATCTTAAGAAAGAAAATGTTGGGGCTGGAGAGATGGCTCAGTGGTTAAGAGCATTGCCTGCTCTTCCAAAGGTCCTGAGTTCAATTCCCAGCAACCACATGATGGCTCACAACCACCTGTAATGAGGTCTGGTGCCCTCTTCTGGCCTTCAGAATATTGTATAATTAATTAATGGAAAGAAAGAAAGAAAATGTTGGGCATAGTGGCACACACCCTTAATCCTGACATTGGGGAAGCAGAAGGGTTTCTGTGAGTTCAAGGCCGGTCTGGTCTACATAGTCTAGCCAGGACTATACAGCGAGACCCTGTTTGAAAGATGGGAGGGGGAAGTAGAAAGGAGAAGGAGAGGAAATAAATGATTTGCTGATCGTTGTTTTATCCACCCCTTCATTTCAGGTATGATGAGAAGAATAGACAATTTGCAATATTAGTAATCCAGCTGAGTAACCTCTCCGCTCTGTTACTGCAGCAAGAGCAGAAAGTGTGAGTACAGAACCCTGCATTTGTGCGTCTCTCTCACCTGCGCTCTCCCTGGGAAAGCTCTAACTCCAGATACCACCGCAGGCATTTAATGCAAGCGAGCACACTAGTGCTGCCTGCGTCCACACACACACGCGCGCGTGCATGCACACACACACACTGGTACACTTACTAGCTTTGGAGACTGGCACAGTAGACAGCTTCCCCCACTTCCTGATGCAGCCTGGATGCATCCACCACCCACTGCTCAAGGACTGCTGAGCAAGCTGGTCCTTCCTGCTTGGAAATCTCCTGGTCTGTGACCTCATGAGAACAGTCGGGTCCCTATTATCCTCTCTGTGCAGAAACGACTCTCTGGTTCTCTAGGAAGGGTGTGCATGATTCACGTGTTACCTTAGAGGTTGCAAGGACAGCAGGCACCTGCGCTGTCTACATGCATTCTTGCTGTAGTCTGGGTGTGTGTTACAATGCATTCATCGACCTAGACATTTCCTCCCGTAACTAGACCACAAGGCCTGCGGACAGCGGTTACTGTATTCAGCCAGTGTCCTGGGATAGGATGTGGGGGGAGAAGAGAAATCTAGCAAAACCCACAGAAGGCCAGACCAGAGCTCTAGATTGTCTCGTTTCTGCCCCTCAGACAATGCCAGGGCCAGAAATGGGGAGTCATAGATAGGCAAATCCCTGGAGATTGGTAGCCAGCCAGCCTAGCCTATTTGGCAAGCTCCAAGCCAATGAGAGATTCTGTTTTAAAAGACAAACTAAAAGGCATGTGAGGACTGACACACAAGGTTGACCTCTGGCCTCGACTCGCATGCACACACAAAACAGAATGGTCGACTCCTGCCTGCAGAGATTAGAGCATCTGCCTTCGGTGCGTGGGCGGCTCTGTTCCCACCCTTGCTCAGTTCTGATGAATTGCTGCTTCCACAGCCTTTGGGACCCTTAGGAATTTGGAAACCCATGGCAGGAAGAGCAGTTGGTACCCCAGAGCCCCTTCCTGAATCCCTCGCATAAGACATTCTGCTCTCTCTCCTTCACAACTGTCTCTCTGGGGATTTCTGCAGTACGTCACCCCACACAGCTGACCCAGCTCTCTGACGGTTCTGTCCCCCCCCTCCCCCAGGAACATCCGTGTAGCCATCCTGCCTTGCTCTGAAAGCAGCACCTGCCTGTTCCGAACCCGGCCTCTAGACTCTGCAGATACCCTCGTGTTCAATGAGGCATTCTGGGTGTCTATGTCCTACCCAGCCCTTCACCAGAAGACCTTACGTGTAGATGTCTGTACCACAGACAGGAGCCATGCAGAAGAGTGCCTGGTGAGAGCTGAGTCTGTCTCTGTCTGTCTGTCCACCTGACCTGGTCATAACAGGTTGGGTATGTGTCATATTCGGCCTGGATTTCAGGCAGAGAAGCCTCCCCAGAGAAGAGTAGTCTCAGTCTTGTCATCACAAGAGAGCCCCTTGCTGTGAGAGGAGTAGTGGGCCTGAAAGGACCTGGATGTGCATGCCGTCGGCCTCAGCTTCTCCGTGCAGCATGGAGATCAGACAAGAAGCACAGAGTCGTAAAAACAACCTGATGTTCAAATCCCACCTTTACCCCCTGAGCTGAGGGATCATGGGCAAGTTCCTAAACACCTCCACTTTTCACTTTCTTTGTCTACAAAGTGCCCCCTGATTGCACACTGGGGAGCGTCTTGAGGTTTGCAAGCGTGCATACAAAGCACCTACCAATGAGTCTGACACAGGTTCTCAGTTAATGGGCCCTCTCTGCTCCTCCAGCTTCCTCCCCCTCTCTGCACTGACAGGAGCCGGGGCTGGAGATGCTACGGCCCTGTGAAAGCCATGCACTTAAATACAGGCAGAGTAAGGTTGTTCAACCTTGAATAACCCCTCCCCCGGGGCTTCTGGGATAAAATGAACTGAACCAAATGAAAGGCTTTCTTAACTCTGGTGCCGTTTCTGAGTGTTTAAATGACAGCTCCAGCGTCTTTAAATCAGTGTGGGCTTTAGAGTTAAAAGAGAGCTCTGCTCGCCCTGGTCTCTGCTGGGAGCCTATTAGGCTCTGGCGCCTGTGTTGGGCACTGGAGATCTGGTGAGAGAGCCCCCTACACAAGGCAGCTAACACACAGACGAACTGTGGTGCGGGCTGTTTTGGGAGTAGATGGATTCAAGTGACAAAAGAAAACGTGAAACTTGTGTAGAGGACAGGCCAGGGATTTGTCCATGGCACTGAGCATCCACGTCTGGAAGCTGAGAAAGTAACCGTGGCAGTTGCTACCTCCCCTGCAGGCTGCTCTTTCTCCTGATGGTAGCCGTGGGTCTTTGCCCAGAGTGGGGGACTCTTAGCTATCCAGCTTCATTTGGATCCGCTTGTGGTGGAGAATCCTTTGTGCTGGGGAATTTGGGGACTGCACCCTCAGGATATAAGGACAAGTCACCCGGCTAGCCCTTCCTTCCCAGCCCCACCACCCGAGAGTCTCCAATGCCAGGCTCAGTTCCCAAATCTGTAATGTGGCCCTCACTGCCAACCATCCCATCTGGTCTCGTGTCCGATGAAGCATCCCTGCGGTGCTGCCCCCCTCAGTGCCCGTGGCAAGTGTTGCGTCACCTGGTGCTCTGGTCCAAATGCAGATGGAGAGTCAGCAAATTTGGGAACCTGCTAAGTACTCAGTGGACATGAGCGTCAGCCATTTTCCTACGCTGCCCACGGCAGAAACCACACCTCTTGGGGCTGGAGAGATGGCTCAGAGGTTAAGAGCACTGGTTGTTCTTCCAGAGGCCTAGAGTTCAATTCCCAGCAACCACATGGTGACTCGCAACCATCTTTAATGAAATCTGGTGCCCTCTTCTGGTCTGCAGGCATACATGCAGACAGAATACTGTAAAAAATAAATAAATAAATAAATAAATAAATAAATAAATCTTTAAAACACACACACACACACACACACACACCTCTTATGATGATGTTACCATGGACACAAATGCAGCAGTGAATGTCAGTTGGGTGACATTTTCTGACAGACACCAAATTAGGTCCCTGACAAGCATTCTCCCCATTGATTTCATTTGTCTTATAAAATAGGTAATTTGCACCAGTGGGAAACTGAGTCACGGAGGTGAAGATCTTGCTTTGGGTCACACAGTTAACACAGTAGCAGAGTGTATTTGGGCCCCTTCTCTGCAGGGTATACATTTGAGCCCTTCAGTGTCCTTTCTTAGCTAGCTCGGGGCTCTCTGAAGACCACAAATGGTGGCAAAAATGGTTTCAGGAACATAGTGGATACTGAGAAGCATTTCCAGACCCAGGCTCCTCTGGCGAGTCTTTCCCTCAGCCCTGGGAAGAAACTAAATCCTGTTTTCTTCTCCTAAGTGGGTGCCTTTTATTCTACCTTCCTAATTGAAGTCTGGCCATGGCTGGTTGCTATGGCAACAGCCAAAAAAAAAAACCCTCGCTGATCTTACAGTGGCTTGTTGCTGCCCAGGACCAATGGGAAGCCTCCTTGCTACTTTGGGAACATGAAGTGTTGGTTTGGGTGGCTGAGGAGGACAAGTCATGAGTCAGGAGGGGGAAAGAGCTCCTCTGCTCTACTCGGTGTTTTTCTGTCTTTTCTGGGGCTGCGGAAACGCCAGCCTGTGTTCAGTTCTTCAGTCACTCTTACAAGCAGCATCTGCGAGTTCACCATTGGGCCAAGAATCCCTTATTTCACCTTCAGCACAGCCCCAGGAAGAGGTATCCGGGTGATCTTCATTTTAGGGAATGAGCAAGGCCCCAAAAGACTAAGTTACCTGCCCTCTTCATCCGGTGAAATGACGGAGGACCGGCATGAATTTGAACACGTTCACCTTCTTTATGTATTCCTATCACACACCGAGTTACATTGCAGGGTGACTAAAGACTCCCACCTCCACGGACCCCAGGTTTAGGGAAACACATAGCCTGCCTTCCCTAAGATTGTCATCAGTAATGCAACCACCTGTGTTAGTGTGGCATCACACTGCCTCCACCCAGCCACTAAGGCCAGTGTCCCTCAGCTCGGGTCCTGCCAGGGCAGACCCCACTGTGTGGCCATTACAATAGAGTCCTGGTTCCTTTTTCACTTGGTGTCACTCACCTGGCAAAGCCTACCCCTGCCGATGTCAACCCCACCCCCAACCTGTGCAACTGGACAGAGAATACACCGAAGCTGTGCCCTGTGGCATCCTTGGACGTTACCGCTCATCACTGGTTTCCCTCCAACCCTGAGCGCCCCTTACCCCCACACTCTGGCTGCTTGGAGGGTTTGCAAACGCCAACGCTTACAGGCTATTCAGTAAATCGTGTCTGTTGAGCCCATGAGTGTGTAAATGCGCTCCGAAGGCTTCCAGCTTGGGAAGGCGAGGGATGTTCGTGCCGGTGAGCCTGTGCCGGCAGGCAGTGCATCTCGTTGTCGTTAAGAATAACCCGATGAAGGCGTCATGCTTCCAAGCCGTTCCCATCATCCCTCCCCAGCTTGGCCCTCCGACACAGCCTGTCATGTTCCGGATTGCAATATCCAGCATGTTTGTGTGTCTCCCCAGGAAACTGTCATCCCTTGGGGAGGAATCGTGTTCTCGACGCTTCTCTGGCTGCAGGGAATACTTGTTGAATGAATAAAGGAGTAATATACATATTCTTGTATAGACTTACGTTTATTCTGGTGCCTGGAGCGTGCCAGCTACTTAATTCCTGAAATGACAATAACCCACCGCCCCCGAGCCATGCATAGAGCAGCGATTCTCCTCGTTCCCCTACTGAGGAAACTGATGTCAAAATAGCAAAGTGTCAGTGCATGCTGACTTCCTCTCCCTACGCAACACTCTTCTCCCAGAAATTGCTATTAGTCACCCAGCCTTAGCAGTCCGCTCCATGATTTGGTTCCTCCTTTTTTTTAGGTTGAATATCCCTGTCAGAAACACATGACCAGAACTGTTTCATATTTCAGGGGGAGGTTGTTTGTTTGTTTTGGGTTTTTGTTGTTGTTGTTGTTTTACTGGTTTAGAATATTTGCATATATAATGAGATACGCTGGAGCTGGAATTCAAGTCTAGATAGGAAATTTGTTTCAGATACACCTTGTATTCCTAGCCTGAAGGTATTATAGAATATTTTAAGTAACTTTGTGCATGAGAAAAAAGTATGGCATGCATTTTGTACTTGTGACATCCCATTGATGCTCAAACAGTCTTTGCGCTCAGGTTGGCATTAGAACTGCCCATCCTGTAGAGGGAGAAATGGGCTCTCAGGTGGGTTAAAGAGTCCCCAGGTCAGGGAGCTCGCGCTCCACTAGAGGCCGGCTTTACAAGCTGGCTTCTGGTACACCTGCCATCCGTTGACCCAGCCACTGCTATGTGAAGACAAAAGGGAAAGGTTTGGGGTGAGCTGAACCCCAAACCTGTCCTGAGTTCTTCAGAAAAGGACTGGGTAGAACTCTTAAACGCCTAAGGAAGAATATGGTTAGCCTGCAGGGCTTCCGATTGGGGTTGGATCGGAGGGTGCTGTACTTGAATAGGTTCCTTATTGGTGAGGTAGGTCAGTGTACGGCTTTACATTTTTAACCTAAGGAGTGCATTTGTATGTTTCAAAGAAGGGTTCAGGAAAAGCTACCACTCTTTGTCTCCAACCCCATCTTACCATGTACCTTCTATCGGTAGCCATTTAGATTTGCTATTCCTTAGATGCTTGCTATTTCTTATTAAACACATGATCATCTGACCTTTTGTACCTCAGACATAGTGCAAATCTCTCTCTCTCTCTCTCTCTCTCTCTCTCTCTCTCTCTCTCTCTCTGTGTGTGTGTGTGTGTGTGTGTGTGTGTGTGTGTGTGTGTGGTTGGTTTTGCATCTGTGTGTGCACCTATAATCCCAGAAAGTTGGGGTCAGGAGGATTAGTAATTCAAGGCCAGTCTCAACTACATAGCAACTTCTTGTACTATCACAAAGAAAGCCAAAATGAAGGTTCCTGTTCATGGGTCGTTTTGTACGTGATAGATGCCTACACGTGTAATTCCCAAGCCACGGGGTAAAATGTATCCATATTTTGCGAGATGCTGGCAAATTCCTCCCCTAAGGAATGTAAAACAACCTCTTTTGTAATTGCCTGTTCAGTGTTTTGCTCCTTGGGACTCTTAACTGCTAGGAAATGGGGCTGTGTAGGGACCCTCGTCATCTTTAGTATTCAACCCAGAACCTAACCCAGCTCAGCGCAGGAGAAGTATCAACAATCAAAATTCAAATAGCCAGTTTTTTAAAACTGGGCCACGTGGGGCTAGAGAGATGGCTCAGTGGTTAAGAGCACTGCCTGCTCTTCCAAAGGTCCTGAGTTCAATTCCCAGCAACCACATGGTGGCTCACAACCATCTGTAATGGGGTCTGGTGCCCTCTTCTGACCTGCAAGCATACACACAGACAGAACACTGTATACATAAATAAATAAATCTTTTTTTAAAAAAAATGGGCCACGTGTGAGTCTGGTAGCACATACCCATAGTCCCAACTCTAGGGAGGTGGAGACAGAAGGATCAGAAGTTCAAAGTCATCTTGAGCTGTACAGCAAGTTTGAGGCTTGCCTCGGCCACATGAAGAGTGTGCCAGAAGACATTAGATATATACATTCATAGAAGCTGAACTTGGTGGCATAATGGCTGTAAAATTAGCACTCAAGAGGCTGAGTTCAGGACTAGGGTAGGTGATGAAGTGAGTTCAAGGTCTCTTAAAAAGGGAGGGGATGGGGTGTATAAATAGCATTATATGTGCTAGTCCCAGCTATGTGAGGGGTTTAAGTTCACACGAGACCAGACAGGGCTGAAACCCTATTAGGAAGCTCCGCCCCTATCTCATGGGGACTGCTGTCTTCCGTGTTGTCTCCATTAGCTGGCATATTTATATGTTTCTCATTGTTTGTCCCTAACAGGGAGGCGCCCAGATCAGCCTGGCTGAGGTCTGCCGGTCTGGGGAGAGGTCAACACGCTGGTACAACCTCCTGAGCTACAAATACTTGAAGAAACAGTGCAGGGAACCCCAACCAGCGGGAGCTACAGGGCCTGACCACAAGGTGAGTGGGCTAAGTGGGCACCTCCAGCCCCACCCCTGCAGCACCTGATGAACCAGATCCCAGCTTGCAATGGTGGAGGAGAGGAGCCTGGGGTAGGAGGAAACAGAAATGGGGCAGGAGAGGGTCATCCAGGAACGGTCTTCCCTGAATGGTCAAGACCCAGCTTCTTGAGGGTTTTTATTTTATGCTTCTATATTCTTCTGTGCCTTATATCGCTTCTCTGATTATTATAATAATAATAATAATATTGAAGTTTTTCCAAAGTGATGTTGAGGGCTATATGAGTAGTTTGTGGTTCAGTGATGAGGCCAGGCTAACACAAGTGAGATCCGGGATAAAAGAAGTACAGAAGGAAGGAGAAACCTGGGAGATTGAGACCATAGTTCTTTCTGGAGAACCTGAGACTGGAGGAAGTTTAAGGAAAGACTGTTCAGAATTGGCTCTTTCCGGCTGGGCGATAGCACGTCACCTCTCTGAGCCTCCATGTTATTTGTCTGTTTTGGTTTTCCGTGTCTGGTAAGGAAAGTTTGAGATAAGGTTGCTGAGAAACTTCCAAGAAATGGATCTAGCGAGTGCTTCTTGCAAGAGCTGGGTAAATGGCAGCTGGGCTGTTTTGAGTTACTTGAAAGCGTTTTCCTTGCTTTGGTTTGACAATATGTTTTAGCGCTAATCATTGAAAACATCCCTACACCATCTCTGGCATGAGGAGGCAGAAACAGGAGGATTGAAAGTTTGAGGCCAGCCTGCTCTACAAAGCAGGTTCTAGGCCAACCAGGGTTATGCAAAGAGACCCTGTCTCTAAACCAAAGCCAAAAAAGACATGCATCCAAAAAGCCACCCCCAGCTCCTGGCTTCTCTCTGCAGAACGTGATGGCTGTGTGGTTCAGTGAGCTGCTCTATGTGAGCAAACCACCTGCCATGGTCCTTGCTTACCTTTAGCTCTTTCTTTCCTTCTCCAAAGCACTCCTCAGGAGTTTCCTAGCCTTGCGACCCCCACCCCGACCCCTGGCTGAGGATGGTGGTAAATTAACCACGTGATCAGAAAGCCACAGCTTGTCTTTGCTCAGATGTCAGGGGCTGTCTACTGAATACTGTTTGCTAGGCCACTCATCAGCGCCCAGATCATCAGAAATAATCTCCATGAAGACTTTCCTGTGCTTGTTGGGAGAAAATGAGGGTCGGAGAGATTCAATAATTCTCTCTGGTCACACCTCCCTCCTCAGTAATGGCGCCACTCAGGTCCTTTTCCGGGAAGCCCTCCACGTATTCAGTCTCCCACTTGTCACTGGGTCCTTGTCCCCAGACACACAAGCACTAGAGAGTGCTTGCCTCTCTCTAGACCCTTACTGCACTGCTGTGTCATTGATGATTCGTAGGACACAGAGACTCTGACAGACAACTCTCTGATCTCCTCCAATCAGAACCCTAATGCTTTCCCTTCGCTGCTAAGCCAATTCTGCTAAGTAGATCCACACACATAGAGAGACGCAGACTGGCCAGTGAAAACCAAAACAGTAGTTCCCATGGGCCAGATGCTTGGCTGCTCCAACCTTCGGGCTTTACCCTGTGTTCTCTAGGAGGGGTACCTGTCTGAGACGCTGGTAGGTAAGGTGGCACCCGGAGCCCCTGCTGATCTGGCGGCCTCTGTCTCTCAGGATACTGTGTCTGCCCTGCTGGAACAGACGGCTGTGGAGCTGGAGAAGAGGCAGGAGGGGAGAAGCGGCTCCCAGACACTGGAGGGCAGCTGGTAAGTGGATGCACCCTCGGGGTTTAGTACGGAGATCCCTGACCTCGGGGCAGCCAAGGGGAAGGCCCCCTGGGAGCATCATGGGCCTGTACTTACAGTCTCTGAAGGCAACAAGGCTCGCTTGGCACAGTGGTACCTAAAACTCTTTCACAGTTTATGTTCCGTAAATCTCCCATGATTGTTCCTGCCTGATGTTATTGTTTGTTTTGGTGTGCTGACATGTATTTGGGCTAAAAAAAAAAATTAAAACTAGGCATGGTGGCTCACATCTGTGATCCCAGCGCTTGGGATGCTAATTAGAAAGACTACTGTGAGTTCGAGGGAAGTCTAGGTTACAGAGAAAAAAAAATTTAAACCCTACTATAGATTTTAAATTTGAATCATTTGCTATAAATTGTGTATTGTACAGTAAGAATTACACTTGGTTACTAGGAAGAGGCGGAAGAAATGATAGAAATGAGAAAGTCCTGGTCTGGGAATGTGGCTCCCTGGTAAAATGTTTGCCAAGCACACGTAAGGTCCTAAGTTCAATTCCCTGCATGATGAGAAGGAGGAAGAGGAAATTGTTGAAGTTGTCCCTGTGTTGCTGAAGAACAGGAGGAAACAATCCAAGCTCCAAGCCCCCTGGTGTTGCTGGAAGCTCATGCTCCTTCTCTTTCTCTGGTTTGCTGTCTTTACTGAGACCTCACCATTGAGGCAATCGTCCACCCGGAAGGATTAGAGATGAATATGCTTGTGTATCTCACAGCCCAGAATTCTTCTTCAAGTCGCATCCAGCAGCTTCCCCTTGCTCCTCCTTGGCTATCCCACTCCACTGCGAGGGAGCTTGAGAGGCGAGCACTGTTGCTTAGCTGGAAAAAAAATCAAGTTTCTGCCTCTGAAGCCAAGAGGCCGGAATGGATCTGAGGCAGGTGAACTTGCTCTGCCTCGGAGGGAGCGAGCATCACAACTGCTCGCTCAGCCTGCCGGTTCCCCATGTTTGAAAGGGAAGACAGAACTGTCCAGCAATGCTGAAAACTTACTCCAGACAGGGAGGGAGGCTTTCTTGCTGAGTAAATCAGAATGTCTAGACAAGAGCTTGGGACACAGCGTTGCACTGTGTGGTTTGATGCGGCTGGATTCTTTCCCGTGGACAAGATAGCAGTACACACTTCAGCAGTACACACTCTGCTAGGGTGTCAGTCCTGTCTCTGTACATCCCTCAGCAAGGTAGTTTGCTGTTTGTTGCTGTTTGAGACAGGGTCTCACTTGTTCCCCTGGATCTCATTCTATAGAAAAGGCTGGCCTTGAACTCCCAGAGATCCACCTGCCTCTGGCCTTCAGAGTGCTGGGATTAAAGGTGTGCCATGCGCTTTTACTTTTTTAAAAAATTGACGCATAGTTAATTGTACCCATACAGGTGACAGTATCATATGTAGGTAACTGTGCAGTGTGTCATGGTCACAGATGCTAATGGCTGACATATCTACTTCATAGACCAGTATGTTTTGAATCTGTGGGTTGTGGCTCCTTTAGAGGTCAAATGTCCACTTCATAGGGGTCACCTAAGACCCTCAGAAAGCACAGATATTTATATTACAATCCATAACAGTAGCAAAATTACAGTTATGAAGTAGTAATGAAAAGGACTGTGTGGTTGGGGGCCACCCCAAGATGAGGAACTGTACCAAAGGGTCACAGTGCTGGGAAGGCCGAGAGCCACTGCCGAAGAGCACCACGTAGATTCTGCTCTTCTACCATTCTGTTGGCTAGTTCTGTTGTTTTGTTCCAGATGGGGTCTGACCACGGAGCCCTGGCTAGCCTGACAGCCACCATGCAGACCAGGCTAGCCTCAAATTCGTGCGTAATCCTCTAGCCCCAGCCTGCACTAGGCCCAGTTTCTTTCAGCCATTCTTTCACGCAACCTGCTCTGAACTGGAGCCAAAGTGTTCGGTAGCGAGGCAGAACGTGTTCTCCTCTCTGAGTCACGTGGTACTCACCGCGTGACCTTTCTTCCCCTCCTGACTCCAGCCTCTTGGGACTGCCATTCTCCACCCATCTCCGTGAGGCCAACGTTTTTATTCCATACCTAAGGGAGAATGGACAGTGTGTGTCTTTCTGCGCCTGTCTCCTTTCCCTTAGCCTAACGTCCTTCAGGTCCTTCCGTGTTGCCACAGGTGACAGCTACTATGGCTGACTCGCGTTCCATATACAGGACCATGATTGCTGGTGGACGCTTGGCTCCCCCCATACCTTGGCTGCTGGGAACGGAACTGCTGTGCACAGAGAGAGACCGGCCTTTCGATTGCAGTCACCAACCTAGAGGACACGGTCAATAACTCTTTTGTGTTACCATTGTTGTCGTCCCAAATTCTGTAATTGCTCTTGGAGGGAGCCTTCCGTTACAGCCTTTGACTCCAGGGGTCACCATATGTCTCCTGGTCAGGAACAGATGGCAAATACCATCTGCTGTGGCCACACCGCTTCCGCTGTGTCTCCTCAAGTTGCCTCTGCAGTATGGAAGCAGCGTGGGCCATGAGTAACCGGTGGCTACGTCTGTGTTCCCCTGACACTCCATGTGTGGACACTGGAATCGACACTTCTTAGCATTTGTACCTGCCACAATGATCACCGCCTTGTTTATTTATTTATTTTTCAGTCATTTAAAAATGGGCTGGGGGGTGTGGTTCAATTGGTACCTACTTGCCTAGCGTGCACAAAGTCCTGGGTTCAGTTCCCCAGCACTCCCTAAACCGACTGCGATGCCACTTTACCTGCGTTTCCAGTCATTGTACTCTGGAGGTGGAGGCAGGGGAATCAGATTTCCAGCTGGCCACTTAATGAGTGCAAGGCTAGCCTGGGATACTTTGAGACCCTGTCTCCACACGAAAATAAATATAAATGTAAAAGCAAATTCTCAGCTTAAAATGCCCAGGGGAAGAAAAACAAAAACAAAACAAACCACAACCACCAAAAAGAAACAAGGCAGCAGGCTGGATGGGGCCCGCTGGCGATAGCTGCTGACGCATACTCGTCTTTAACCATCTTCCCGTGTGATGAAGAACCTACCAGGCCCCTGGAATTCTGTATTCCTTTGTTTCTCAGTTGGTCACAGTGTCTATCTCCCTCTCCCTGTCCCTGGCAACCCTGGTGCTGACAGTCACCCAGGCTCAGGTCTGATGCCAGAATCAGCCCAGGTCCCCTCTCCCCACAGCCTGGCATGAGATCAGTGCCTGCTACTGAATTCCAAGCTAGGGCTGAAACTTTTCAAGCCGTCTCCTAGCAACCACCTCTGTTCTTGCTCCCCTTGTGGCCCCCTCTCTCCCCACCCCCTGCCATTCACACTTCCCAGATGCCAGCTTACAAAGAGGGCCAGGCCTCTCAGAGCTGCTTTGGTGGGGTGGCTCCATCTGCAGCCCCTTCCCCCAGGCCTGAAGGTGGCTTTTGATCGCCGGGCAGTCACTAGCTTCGGCGCACCTGCTCAGCTTCGGAGCCCAGTGGAGGTCTCCCAGAGACCAGCCCCCAGCACTCGGACACTGACCTACAGTATTAAGGCCCAGTGGATCTCAGCTGCCCTCCCCTTTTAAAAAAAAAAAAAACCTATTTTGATGCCTTTACTGCAAGTATCAGAGGAACAGTTCTCTCTCTTGGTCTGTTCTGTAGCAGCACTGGCCTCAAATTCTCAGCGTCCTCTGCCTCCCAAGCGCAGAGGACCTCCGCACCTCAGGAGAAAACTGCATTCGTTCCGCTGAAGAGTCACGAGCAAAACAAGACCCTGGTTGTTAGGAAACATAGGCGAGCCAGTGAACTATCTCAGTGTGCAAAGACACTTGCCACCAAGCCCGAAGACTTGAGTTCAATCCCCAGGACTCACACAGTAGAGGGAGAGAACCAGCTCCCGAAAGTTGTCCTCTGACCCCCATGTGTATGCCATGGCCTGCTCACGCCCTCACTCACCTGCATTCACCATATACACGCAATAGTGAACTAGAAAGAAAACCCAGGAAAAGATGGCCTCCAACCTTGGGAGAGTGAGAGGCCCTGATGTGTGTCTGTCTGGGGTGATGGCCACAGGTGGCACTGTTGGGTCCCTGAGCCTGAGCATGTCACCTGAACACACAAGGCAAAGTGCTTCTTGGGTAGAAGTGTTGGCCCGGAAACACTGCCACCAACAGTGACTAAAATACCCTAAAACTAAACTTACTCTCCAACACTTCACTGAACTACTATACTGACCTAGAATATGTACATTTAGGGCTGGGGATATAGTGCTTGCCTAGCATGAAAGAGGTCCAGAGTTCCGTCTCCAGCACGGCTAAAATAGAAACTAGATGAAGTCCCTGTTTATGATCTGACAGATACTACTACTAACCGGCTTGCATGCGAAGCGAGCATCGCTTGCTCACATCCTCGCTCTGCACAGGGACATGTCTGCTTTCCAGACTGCTTCATCAACATTTTCATGTCTGCTTCATCAACACGGGATAGCATCAGCTGGCATTTTGGATTGGTTACTTTGTTTGCGCTGCACTGGGTGAAGGAGGCCAGTGTGTTTTGTTTCTCTGCACCGTTGAGATCGAGTGGGGTCTTTTCTCCTGTCCTGGGACATTTTGATCAGACTTACAGTGAAAGAACAGAGGCTGGCCCGCGGTTCAGCGCTCTGTCAGGCTAAGCCACCTAGCTCCTCTGTGATAATGGATGAGGCTATCAGCCTGGGTGCCTCACACTGAACCTGCGGGGTGTCCACGCCCTCCCTCAGTACTGCAGCCGGGAAGGGCTGGTGAGTGAATCCTACAGATTGCTCTGTGTTCACGCTAACTGTGGGTCTGTGTGTCTGGGGCTACAGAGGAGAACAAGACTCCCCTTATCGCCAGCTCCCTCGCAGTGAAGAGGAGCCTCCATTGCAGGGCTGTGAAGAGAGATGGGGGTTGTCTCTCCCCATTGGGGAACCCTCAGGGAGACGCTGCGTTTCCCCCACAGTGAGCCTCACAGAAGACCCTGTGTCACATGATCTGCTTTGGCAGGGATTCTGGTGGCTCAGCATGGTGACAGTGTTTCACACGGGCCTTGGCCTGGCAGCAGTGTACGTCTTTGAGAAGTCAAGATGGAGATTACACCCAACATGTGTAGTCCATTAGCCTCACGAATCCTTCCAGCCCTGGAGCCCAGGGTTCAGAAAGCAACATGGCAGAGGCTGTTCAGGAAATGGTGCTGGGACAGTTAGCTATACATATGGGAAAATTAATTTTTATTCTTATTTCCCTTCAATCAGAAATGAATCTGCTTTGCATCGTAGAGCTAAAAACATCAAAACTGAAACGAAAAAGCTTTAGCCGAGAATATAGGAGATTCTTTTAGCTGTGACGCAGCTCGGTCGGAGAGCGGTTGCCCAAGTGTGCATAAGGTCCTGAGTTCGATCCCCAGTAGAGCCATGAACAAATACATAATAAATAAGTGTACAGGAAATGTTTTACAAAGGCTTCCTGGGCCACAAAAAGCCCAAACTAGAGATGGAATAAGGCAGGCGTCAACCAGGAGTTCAGAGCAGCCTCAGCTACATGAAGCCCTGTCTCAAAAATGATAATTAAAAAAGATCCGCGATAAGATGCAAGGCTGTTCCCAATGGAATGGCTGCCAGTCGCGAGTGTCGCCAGGGAGCTGGTACGCTTGTGTGCCGTGTCGCTGCTGGAACTGTAAGTGACGGAATGACTCCGGAGACTCAGTCTGCCGGTTCTGTTAAAAGGCAAATGTATATTCGTTAATTCAGTAAATCACTGAATTCTATGAGCTGAATCGTACACCCCTCCAAATTCTTTAAAAAAAAAAAAAGATTTATTATGTAATTATGTATACGGTGTTCTGTCTGCATGTATGCCTGCAGGCCAGAAGAGGGCGCCAGATCTTCCTACAGATGGTTGTGAGCCACCATGTGGTGGCTGAGACTTGAACTCAGGACCTCTGAAAGAGCAATCAGTGCTTTTACCTGCCGAGCCATCTCTCCAGCCCCCTCCAAATTCCTATGGTGAAACCGTCCTGAGTGCCTGTACCTCAGACTGTGACTGCCTCTGGAGATGGGGCCTTGCAGAGGCAATTAAAGTAGGGCGGACCTGGTCCAGCCTGATAGGTATCTTTATAAAAAGAGAGAATTGTGGCACACACAAGCACTTGCGAGTATGGGAAAGCACGGACAGCAGCAAGGAGCCATCTGCAAGCCAAGGACAGGGGCCTCAGGAGAAAACTATGTACTAGAACCTCGCTCTTGGACGCTAGCCTCCAGAGCTGTGGGAAATATAGTTCTGTGGTGTTTCACTTTGGCGGCCTTAACCAGCAACACAGTATCTAACAGAAGTGACCCCCTGGCTCCGTAGCAAAGACTTGCCCCCTGGGCTCCTAGAAACTTCAGTCACGGTGACTGAGAGATGGTTTCAGTTTGGTGCTCACAGACGGACGAAGTGTTAACCACACTACATCCTGGGGAATGTTACTCAGTAATAAAAAGGAAGTGAGCTACTGCTGTTTGTAGGACCTGGATGAACTTCAGAGGCGTACTAACAGAAGCCGAGGATGCAGGAGCATGTACTGTTTGACTGCTTATATGAAACTCGAGAGAAATCAAATTTGGTCTGTAACACCGGGAAGCTTCACTGGTAGCCACCAGGGAACAGCGGGGGTACTGAGTGGAAAGGGTAGCTGGAAGGGCCCCTTTCAGGTGTAGAATATTCTGGCTTCCATGGGGACTTCCACCCTTATGATACACATTCAGACACACGAAGGAAGAAAGGAAGGCAGGAAGGAAGGAAGGAAGGAAGGAAGGAAGGAAGGAAGGAAGGAAGG